CAAGGAAAAAATTCGCAATTACTTTCTTATTCTGTGGCGGAAACAAGCTTCCATAGTTTCTTTAGCATCATAGGCTATATATATATATATATATATATATATATATATATATGAAAAGTTCAGATGCAAAAGCCTCTAAATATCAGGAATTACTGAACTTAAATATATAAGTTTGATAAAAATCATCATTAAAGAAGAAAATTTCAAATGCCATTCAGAGGCTTTTGCATCTGAACTCTTCATATATATATATGGCTGTTTGGTTGAAATGATCAGAGATAATTCAGGTGACAACAGCCCTATATCCTTATATAGGAATATTCTCATCTTCCGAACAGCACCTGACATGCTCTCAGGACGTTTCTCTTTAGCGAGCCAATTAAACATTTAGCAGGCAAGTGTCAGACTCGACAGACAACCACCATACAGAGACAGAATTTCACAGTCTGTCAAAAAGGGTTTTAACACATCCCCTTCAATATGCCCCCCCCCCCAACCCCCAACCAAAAGGAGAAAATCTCATTAGTTTCCCCTAGTTTTTGTTTTCACTAGTAGTGATGGGGGTTGCTTGATATAAAGGAGCATCATAAACATGCAGTTTAACCACAAAGTAATGAATGAAAAACCACCACAGTGGCTCTTTCAAGGGATCAAATGAAATCATCTGTGATTCTGATGTCGATACAAACTGAGAAACCACCACCACCGGCTCTTTGAGGTCAAAACCACATTGATTGAACTGAGTATTAAACAAGAAGGGGAACTTCTGCACCCTGAATCCAAGAGGTTAGTGGTGGTGGGTGGTATGACCAAAATCTTATTAAAAATTGGTTTATATGTCCAATAACCATGAGGTAATTCCTATACTTGGATAATCCAGTCAATCAAATACTTTACAATGGTACTTAATCTGAGTACATTCTCAGCAACAAGAATAAACATGCTTTGTGCCGACCACAATGTGCTTTGTGTGGCGAATTACTGGCTGCCGAGAGCAAGAAACCATAGAAGTTCAATTCTTCATTTAGAAACTCAACAGTCAAAGACTGTAAATTACACTTCTGTTGTTGATGCACGTACAACATTGTCGATAATCATCATGCAAGGCATGCTTTTGTAACAATATAAATGTTTTTCTCACTTTACTTGCTGAATAAATGTATCAATTCCTATTGACCCAACACTATGACGGTTTTCTGGATTGATTGACAGAGGAAATGTTGGACGTACTGTAGATGAAATTTCACTCTGGTTGAAGCAGCAAAAGTACAAAATGTGGGACAAAAAACTCAGATTTACATGGAAGAGATTTATCACTTTATCATGTTGTCGCTTGTGCCTTTGAAAAACATGTGCCTACAAACATCCCAGCACCAAAAACAACAGGACTTAGAGGATCAAACGTCTGGCATAAATCTGGAATCATAAAGGATTACTCCATGGATTTAACCCGAAACATTATCACACTAACACACACAAACGAATTACTGCACAGTTCCACCCAAACCTCAGACTTCCATGTCTTATTGGAAAGAAAAAAGGTCAAGAAGAAAAAAATATCCATGATCACAAACATGGAGATCTAAAATAGGTCATGATAAGACCAGAACATGATAAGAAGGGTCTCATATAATACCCTATAATCTGTTTGGCCACCATCTGGGTCTTCATCATGATTTATGAGAGTCTGAACTCTCCTGTGCTGGCAGATGTCAAGGGGAGCAACGTATGCCTTCATCATCAATGGATGCATTAAACGTTTGTTGGGTTGCATAGCCCGGGTGAGCACGTGTGTGGAGCGCAAGGTGATGAATTAGTAAAGCTGCGAGTTGGAACAAAGGCTCGTGGGTAATCTGACAGGCTGCGGCGCAGCCCCTGAGGGACTGAGACAAAGCGGCGGGAACGAAGGGGCGGAGGCATGCTGGGAAGGCTAGTCAGCTGGCCGGGTCTTCTCCAGCCTGAAGGATGAGGGCCACAAAAGCCCGCCGCGCGTTAATGACTGTATGAAAGCAATTATGACCCTTAGCGCACTAAAGATGACATTATAGAGCAATAACTCAGCCTGTGTGCCACTCACACAATGGGCCGGGCCTTGATTCTGGCCTGGAAAGACAAAAGAGAAGGTTACACACGAGATCGACTCGTGACCCAGTCTTTCCTTGAAATGGCTTTGTTATCTGTGTGTGTTTACACACACTTGGGTAAAGAATAGCTGAGGTGGTGCTGGGTTATCATACTGACCTCTTGCTGGCCTTGGAAATCAAATCCTGAAGCTTAAGTCCAAATAAAAACCCAACAGTCAATTGTAAAGGTAGATGTCTTGATGACCACGGCAAGGTGTAGAGAAAACAAAAACCCCAAGGCTGAATCCGAAATCACCCCCCATGCCCTCAAATAGGCCGTTATTTGAGGGGACGGCCATTTGTAGTGGTGTCTGAAGTGGAAGTGTTGTAGTGCAATAACAAGTGTACAGGCGATATACGCCTGTCTGAATTCACTCCCTCGTTTTCATTCACTCCATCAAGTGAACTGTATTAGTGGACTTACGTAGGGAATAGTGATTGAGGGTTTAGGGGGCGATTTCGGATATAGCCCTATTCTTAGACCTATACTCTTTCCCATGAGGCTCAGGCAAACGAGCGATAAATACAGGCACCTGTCCAACAAGAGGTCACGAGCTTCAAAAGACAAAGTTCCCTGTGTTTTAATGGATAATTACAAGCACCTTCGCAAACATGTGAAAAGGTCACCTGCAAGGTGCAAAGGTATATTTAGGGCTAAGGTCGCCCCAGGTGTGAAGTCGCCGGAGAGTATTTACCTTTCAGGGCAGCGATTATCTTATGATGTGTATATACAGTACAGTAACGTTCAAAAGTTTAGGATTAGCATGTTTTAATTTAAAGGGGACATTTGAAAATCAGACTTTTTCCATGTTTAAGTGCTATAATCGGGTCCCCAGTACATCTACCAACCCAGAAAACATGAAAAGTGACAACCCAGTAACTTTGGGTTGGTAAGCCTTTCTCTGCAAGCATGTCAAAAAAATTAAAAAATTCTGTCGTAGGAAGGGGATCTTAATTATTATAATATTACTGCTAGAGCCAGACCGATATATCGGCAGGCCGATATTATCGGCCGATATTAGGCATTTTCTAAAATATCGGTATCGGCAGTTATAATGGTCCATAAATGAATATTTCAAAAATAAAATAAAAACGGGCAAATCACGCTTCAACCATGTCATGAGTGTTGGAGTTGTATAGTTTGTCCACCAGAGGGCACTCTACACCGTCCCTGTTGGCAACAGTCGTGTATAACGCAACCTGCTGATCCAGCCAGAGTCGGGCAGAGAGTATCAGTTATGCATTATCATATTATTTTAGTTAAAACTCATAATTAACTACAAATAACTAATGTTAGGGAAACGCCACTTTTGCGTTTTCTCTTCAGAATCGTTTACGTGTAAACAAAGCCTAATACTTTCATTCAGCAAGAATACATTAAATTAGGGATGCACCGAAATGAAAATACGGAATGCACCCGGAAAGTCATAGAGGTGTAACTCTTCTAACGTAAAATGGTCCCAAAACATAACTCCGGCACGCTTGCTTCATTTCTCCTCGTGTCTGCTTTACGTGTTTCACGGTTGAATCGACTATCGACCCGTTTTAACGATTAAATTATCGACAACTTATCGATCGTTAATCGTTGATTAATCGTTAGCATCCCTAGTTTCAACAACAACATTTTTTTTACATGCAACAACTGATTTGCACTTCACTTCTTTACCATGGTAAAATGACTGCAACATACAGACTTTAGTGGCATTTTGCTTTTACGACTGTCTTTATGTGTTATCCCAGAGAAAAGACCCCATTTCTCTTCTGATGCCTGGCAGTTTGTGAGGTCTTATTGGGTCTGTCTCTCTTCCCCTCTAGAGACTGGACCACATCACAGAGAGCATGGGCTGTTTATGCTGGAGTCGAGTGCACACAGCTCTCTCTTAATGTGCTGCCATAAAGAGATAAAAGTAGAGTGCAAACACGCAGTCGAGTCTGTTGATGTTATCAGGACCCGGTTGGCAAGATGTTCCAAAGGCCAATCAAACTGCTCTTAAAGAACAGACACCAGGAGATAAAATAAACCTCAAACAAAGACCAACTGGTGGGACAGGGAAAAGCAGGCATGAATGGGGCTCTCCGGGCAGGGAGTTAATTCGTGTTAGATCATTAGAAAGAGCATAGAAATACACTTAACCAAAACAACAGTCAACACTGTTGAGCAGACAAGCGAGTCCCGATCTTTGACCTCGTGAAATAAACCAGTGTAACTGGGGCTATGTGCAAATCTGTTTCCCAATGACTTCATGAATTCAAGTTTTTCAGATCCACACATTGCATGCTTATTAGGTAAATATTGTGGCTAATTTGATCATCCTTTCAACCATGAATTGGCACGCTTAACCAAGTTAACCCAAAATTAAATATTTCATCATTTACTTACATCATTCCAAACCTGCACGACTCTATTTCTTCAGTGTTTTCTTCAGCCTAAATATTCCAGTCTGTTCCTCACTCGAAGCTATCGCATGGCTTAAGAAAACTCGGAGTATAGTCTATGAATAAAAATTGACGACTATGATCGACTTTCAGCGTATTAAAAAACTTCTTCTTTGGAAGAAAGAAAGTCGTACAGGTTTGGATGGAAATTTTCAGAATTATGGTTAAACTACTCTTTAAAATCTTGCATAATGTCTCTCACATTTCATGGAGAAAATGTGAAAAACATGCAGATTACCATTGCAGACCATTTCAGAGCAAGTACATGCATATCAAGAATGTTTTGAGATATATCGCCCACCATCCCTATCAGAAGAAACATTCAAACGTATCACAGCCCGTCTTTTAGCTCCCTATTTGCCGACGAGGGGCTGCGAAAGCAAAGTCCCCCATGGATGCACATCAAAAGCTGTGTTAGAATAGCAATGAACTGTTACTCACTGCTTTTGCTGGCTTTGACCTTGGCCAGCAGTTTCTGTGTAGTAGCTAGATCTCCATTCTTGACCGCTTGCAGAAGATCCTGCTCTTTTCCCATGATCCCCACCAGCCTGAACTCCCCCAGCGTCCCACAAGAGTCCCGCTCCTCCCTCACACCTCCATACAGCGGCGCAACCGCGGCATGAACCTATCCCAGAATCCTCTCTTACGGTAGTGCTTACTTCACTCTGTTGACAGCCGGATGTCTGAGAGAACCACAAGCCACCAGATATCCGTATTTCTCCAACAATCGCGTCATCAAAATCAACAGACCGTCTAACTTCAGCTCTCCGTCTGGTTATGGATGCGGAAGGCTGGAGGAATGGAAAATCTATTTTGCCTTATGAATTGCCTTCCGGTTTCTCGTTCTCAAGTTTCCAGAGCCTTTTCAGAGTAACCGAGTCGGTTTGGGTCCTCAGATTCTGGGAACGCAGGGGCCTTGTTGATCCTGTGGTTTCCAAGGTTGAGAACTAACATTGGAGATTTGGATAGTTTGGATCAGCAGACCAGGACCTGAAAAAGGAGCCGGCAAGAAAAATAGCAATGTTAATACAGCAGCCAAGTACAGGGCATGAGCAAAGCAGCAAAACGCTGAAAACAGCAAGCCTTAGAGACTCTTTTCACCTCTCACAGACTCACACTCGATTGATTCCTTCTCAAGGCAAGATTGCAAGTTCACCCAAACATGCAAATTCTGTCATCACTCATCGTCAAGTCAGTTCAAACCTGTATGACTTTCTATTGTTGAACACAATACACTACTGTTCAAAAATGTTGCTGAAAAAGTTCAAAAATGACTTGCACGTCGTTTCCACTAAACTATTAAGCAGCACAACTATTTTCAACATTGATAACGATCAGAGATGCGTCTTGAGCGTCAAATCGGCCTATTAGAATAATTCTGAAGGATCATGTGACACTGAAGACTGGAGTTGATCACAGGCATAACTTACAGAGTATACTAAATAGTAATAACATTTCACAATATTACTGTTTTACTGTATTTTTTGATCAAATAAATACAGTCGTGGTGAGCAGAAGACTTCTTTTAGAAACGTGTAAAACATGTTACCGACCACAAACTGTACCCCATTGACAATTATTGCATTGACAAAAACCTTTTTTACTGTAGGTTCACTTCTTGAGCGTCAAAGAAGCTCTGGCCGCCCTATCAAGGACGCTTGTCAAAAAGTACGGGGAAGCTTGTTGGCGCTTTGGATGCTTTGAACGCACTGATATTGCAGGGAGCAACATGACATCATGACTTTTGCGTAAACATACACGCCACTTTCGAGTCAAGTGGTGTGTTATCTCTACGCATTTTGAGCTATCCGCGTGTTTCCGCGTGTATGCGTGTATGTCTACGCGATTAACGTCCGAGTGATTCCGCGTGTCTGTACATGCCGTCAAATGTCCGCGCGAAATGAAGCAAAATGTAGATCTACATCTGGGGAGCGATCTTTTTTTTTTCCTAGGATGGTAAGGGAAGACTCATAAATGCCATTAACCCCAGTGACGGTTAGGTTTAGGGACAGGGTTGAGATAAGTCATATATTTAGATTAGATTAGATTAGATTTATTTGACCACTTAAATATAAAAATATGAAGAACAGTAAGAAAAACTGTTGCATACATTAAAAACAAATACAAAAGTAGTCAGGGATAACACAATAAAGCCCGAAGACTTATTTCTTATTTATACAGTAATAACGTTAAGTCAACGGCATTCATAAACACACTGAAAAGCGATTATGCGTGTTGATAGTACGCCAAAAATGGAAATACGAATTGCCGTGTCGTACACACGCTACTTCATGAGATCAGTCTGCAGGGAGTATAGAAGTGTCACAACATGAAATGTAATAAACAGAAAAAAACAAGCAATACATTGAAGAAACCTTTTATAATGACAGCATTTTTATAACCGTTTTGGTCACATTTGGTCGGGGAAAAAATAGTTCTAGCTATTATTATTATTATTGCGGTCAAATCGGTGTCACCGTGAGGAAATTAATTGCGTTCCCGCTTTAAAACGAGCGTTCGTAAATATTTCAAATAAAAGTTGCGCTCATGCGGTCCCTATAAGCAAACAACGTCATGTCATAAATGATACGAAACCAGTAGGAAACACAGCAACAGCGATGATTAGCTTCTCTTCCATTTTCTCAGAACTAATGTTTTGGTAGGAACGAAAGTTTACATTCATGTCCAGAATCAGCCAGCGTGAAGGACGTCTATATTCTGATTGGTTGCTGGCGTTTTGCCGCTGAACGCGTCACGCCTCATTACCATAAAGTTGAGCTACTTTTAACTTTCTGATTGAAGCTCAAAACGTGATGCCAATGGATTTGACGCTCCTTGCAGCTGAGATAAGCAGCTTCCATTGAAACTGAATGACTTCCGGCCGCTTTGGAAGTCGGCGGTGGTGTGAACGGTTATAATTACATAATGATTGTATTTTCATTTTTGGGTGAACTAAACCTTTAAGCTAACTTTACCTACCAATATATCCGTCTGGTCTGTGTCAATAACATGATACTCATGCAATTTATTTTGATGTTTTTTGGGGGTCATAGAATAAAAAACAAACGTCATGGTGGATAACGAAGGGGAAAAAAATTATAAACGATTGAAGTCTTTAAAAGTTCAAAAGTTAACCATCAAAAGTTTCATAGTATCACAGAAAAGACTTGGCAAGATCAATTAGCCTCTTAAAATATAACATTACTTGACCGTTTTATCCACGAAGCAAAGTAAGTTCAGGTTGTAAATGTGGTGCAGCCAAAACTTACTTTCAGTTTTAATCGTTGTGTGTCGCAGACACCCTACAGAAGAAGATGGGATTTAAACCATCGCCAGTGAGACTTTGGATTTACACATGCGCCTGCACATTTAAAATGTGTTGGCCAAGCATTTGTATCTGCATTTGCATGCCTAACCCTAAGTATGAGGAGCAGTAGTAGTAGTAATTCCCTTAACACCACTATTTAAAAAACGCTGAGACTCGTAGTACTAAAAAACTCTTGATAGCATATCATCTCAAACATGCTGACAAAGCAAAAAAAAAAAGTATAAAAGCACAAGCTTAATGGTAAGTGTGGTCAGTAAATCTGAAAACAATGATAACTATATGCAGCGCAGCTTCACACTCAGTGGTCAGGCCGCCCGGTGTCTGGGTCACAGCGTGAGCAGTAAATGAGCACCACACGGCCGTCTCATAATCACTCCTCCATTGCATAACCCTAAACGATCTCTACACACCCAGAGCTCTCGGAGGAAGCAAGCGAAGCTGCCACTCGCCATAGCTGTAATCACGTCCTCTTTCGTTCCCCTCAGGGCCAATACTCTTCACACGCCACTGCCAAACCGCTGATAATGTGAGTTTTTCAGTGCTGTTATGATGGGTTTACGACGTTTTGATTGAAATTTCGAACATTTTCCACCGTTCGAATAAAGAAAGAGGAGGAACAGGACAGGTGAACGTGAAGGTAGATTGAAAATCTTTGACTAATGAAAACAGAGTCACAATGGTCAGACAAGCCCACTAACTGGCCCTCGTTTATGAACCACCGTATTCATTTTAGAGATGCAAAGAAATAAGTGATGATGGGTTGCCTGAACATGGGCTCAGTATTTATGGTCCTGGGAAGCCGTAAGTATGACGTCGGGTGCGTTCAGATCACTTTTCACTTTACCTTTTCTAGAAAAATACAGCAAGAACATGTAATCTACAAAATTATGATTGAAGAATGCACATCAGGTGTGTTTTTGCAGTTTCTGAAGGTGTTGTGAACTGAATCGCAACTGTTCAATACTAGCGCTTTTTAGATTAAAAGATCTAATCGTATGTGCACTACAAATAATGTTTAGTGAAGTTTTGGCCAAGCCCCAACTGAAAACAAGCATTGAATAAGGCCCTGTTTACACGAGAACGCTCGCGGGTGAAAATGTAAAAATATTTTATCGGATGTGCCTTTCGTTTACACGGCGACGGCGTTTTTGTGGCTTAAAAACGCAAAAAAGTGAAACCACCCTCCAGAGTGGAAATCTTAAAAACGCTCCACCGCTGCGTTCCCGTGTAAAGGGTAAAAACGCAAAAGTCTGCTTGACAGTGAAGGTTGTACGCAGGCACGCGGAGTTGGTGTTGTTGTGTGGCAGTGATTCACATCGCCACCTAGTTGCCTGGAGTGCATACTACGTCGAATTTCACACACTTTTGCGTCACCATATGCACGCGGATTTCCCACCCAAAACGCTCGTCTAAACGCAGAATGAAAAGTGATAACGCAACGCCACTTTTGCGTTTTCTCTTCAGAATCGTTTCCGTGTAAACATAGCCTAAAAGAACAATCATTCATTGGAATTTAAAAATCAATATCGGTTCTTAAAAACGATAAACAATAGTCCTGTTAAAATCCGTTTTGACCACTGCCGAGCACCATACGTATGATTAATTTAAACTTCTATAGATTGCCTAAGTGATGACGTCACTTTGTAGGACAACTCGGAAGTTAGCGGCGCATGGGTTCCCTTGATTGAAAAGCTATGCATTTTCCCCATAGACTTTTGGAAAATCGCAAAAAAATAAGATCTGTGTTCAACAAAGATTTGTGACCCTTACACATTTTGTCTTTCAAGATAATCTTTATAAGTCCAAAATTTATACATTTTGAAGCCTATATAAAGTTTTTTTTAACAATAACGTTAAAAAAAAACACAAGCAGGTTATAACTGTGTGTTCTGAGTCATAGATCAAGACGTGAAAATATTTAGAGGCTTTGTTCACCACAGACCTTATTTCGGGCGATTTAGCAAAAACCCGTAAAAAAAAACCCAGACTTTAGAGCGAGGGAACCGTAGTGCTAAAATGCTAACTCACTTCCGCGTTTTGGCCTACAAACATCAAAATTTCAGGCACTCTATACTGAAATGTTGGTAATAACAGTGGATTGTCATGTAAAATGTGCAAATTGAAAGTAGAGCTGCATAATAAATCAAATCGCGACATAGTTTGTGAATATTAAAACACAAAAATAAACATATAATCTGCTTGTTCTGTGTGAATGAGCTGGGCTTGAGGAGCATCTCAGCATTTTATTTAAAGAAAAAACAATGTCAAACACACCCCGAAACTCGAAGGTCTTCACTACAACCCGTAAAAGAAAAGTTTGGTTTAACTTGAAGAAATTATGACAGAAATATTAGCCTCCTATTGTACAATAGAATGTAGCCTACTTCTCAAAATGATAATAATAATACAATACATAATAATACAAATTATTGTTTTAATAAAAATTTTTGTCTATAATTGTGCAGCACTTAAAAGTTGTTTAATTTTAATTTGATTACATTTTAAAATTAAATTAAATTATTAGTTATGCATTAATGATCTGATTTTAACCATTATTTATAATATGTTTGTATTAAATCATAACAAAAAATATTTTTTGATTTCATAGGACTCTTATAACTATTAAAAAAGTGAATACATGATTAATTAAAACAAGTTGTTAATCAAATCCATATTCAACTGATTAGACATGTTTTTGATTATAGAAATGTGAATAAACAAAACAAAGTAGATGGTTTCAAGTCTGCTATTGATAGTAAAGCTGCAGCTGATTGATATACTAACTATTATCATAACGTGAAAATGTCATACTGTTATTTTAACACAGCCCAATTGTGAACAGATATCTCTGAATGGTTGATGAAGGATTGAGGGGTTATGCTTTTGGTTACCAGCCTAGATGTTCACTACACAATCCATAAGTCTCTGAGGAGGACAGATATCACATGAGTGCCAAAATAAACAAACAATGACATAACACTTTTCTTCATAACACCACCATACAACCATAAAACACGCAATAGCAGGCGCTAGTTAAAGTTAAGGTAGGAATAAAATACATCTAATAGCACACTTTAACATTAGTGTCCGCCAAAATAACACAGCTGAACTGAAAGGTGATTGGTATTAGCTGCCGCTGTAATGAAATATATAACCATAAAGCTTCATAAATTTCACTACTTTACAACAACAACAAAAAAACACACAATGTTCTCGCGGGAACTAGTTAGTACGGTGATTTAGTTCGAGAAAACACAAAAGTGAAACGATATTCGGTGAAATCACATCAAGTAGCGCGACAACTATCGATTTAAAAACAAACTAACAAAAATAGCTACTGCTTTAAACCTCATTGTACGACTTCACCCCAATATTCAGCACAAACAAAACTTCCCCGTCAATTATGATAAACACACTTACCTTTACATTAGTGTAAAGAGTTCATAACAGCGGGTTCTCGTTCACTCGCTCCAGTCCAGACACTTCTTCAGCAACAACAACTAACTCAAAGTCACCTTTAGTCAACTCTAAACACGCTAGAAGTGTGAACGACCTCGACTACTGCTAATCGCGCTCTCGGGATATTTTCTCTCCAGTTTTTTTTCTCCCAAACTGAACGCCTGCATGGATTTGCATGTGCGTGTTTGGAGACCTCCAGCACTGTGAGTGTGAGAGAGGCAGTCAGAGCAGCTCGAGTGCGGGGGATCGGCCCTCCTCCAGGGGGAGGGAGCAGCGCTGCCCTGCCGCCCGACACGACGCGCTCCGGGGCATCAGCTGTGCCGCTCTGCCGCCCTCTGGGACCCATGCGCCGACACTCACCGGAGCTTCGATCTTCTCCCTCTTCATTATTTAGATATAACTCAGTAACACTTACGGTCCTAACATTAGTTAACTACCTTTGCTAACATAAACTAATAACTTCAATATGATTTATTACTCATAGTTAATATTAATTCAAACATTATTAAAATCAAATTTGTTAACATGCAATGTAAGCTAACATGAACAAAAATGAACAGCTGTATTTTTACTATCATTAACAAAGATTAATAATTACAAATGAAGCCTATTGCTCATTGTTAGCTCATGTTAGTTAGTTAATACATTAACCAGTCCAGTGTTTAACTAAAAACCTTATTGTAAAGTGTTACCTATAACTCAATATGTAGCTATTGTTCATTGTACAGAACTATAAAGCTATGAAATTAGTGTGGAGAGAATCAGCTCATCATCAGATTCATTTGGTTTTGGGGAAATTTGATGCAAAATATAGTGGGGAAAGTGGGGCATCAGTTTGTGTAAATCCCCTTGGGGTTCAGAGTATTTATTTTTTCCCCACATTAATTTCGCACATGTCTAGTATGATTATGTGGCGTTGTTTCATTAATACAGTGTATAGGCTATAATCTTGATTTACCTTGAAAGAATGAAAGTGAAATGTGACAATGTGTCCCATTGTAACATGACCATATCTGATCTAATAATAAAAAATAAAAAAATTAGAGACAAACTAAAATATTTTGCCAATAAAATACAATTATTAACTTTTTCATTGCATTTTTAATAAATAAAAATAAACTACTTTTTGAGTTTGACAACAAACACACCTCAAAACACAGCTATACAGCATTTCAAAACATAATAATCATATCTGAACATTGACTCAGTCTTTATTCACCCTTCTTCTCATGATTTCTCAATTCAATAGAATTCATAAAAGTATAGAATAGAATAGTTCTCAACAGTTAAATAGCAGATATACGATTAAAACAATATCAGATTTGTCTAAATTTAAATAAACACAAAAAACAGAGATGAAAAATTAACTTACAAGTAAGAAATGTACTTATGCTAAATAAATATTGAGTGATATTTTCCAAAAGATTTCTTAATTTTGCCACATTTTTTCTCTATATTAATATGGCAACTAGTAAATACACTAAGTTTCAGCAAGCTAGCATGTGTGGAAAGTTAGCCCCTCGTTAGCTTGTGTTGGTGTTGGGGTTAACGCATTAGTAACCTGTGTTATGTAATCAGATTACTTTTTCAAGTAACTAGCAAAGTAACACATTACTTTTAAATTTACAGCAAAATATCTGAGATAGTTTGTTTCCCCAAGTTTTGATCATAAACATGACAATATTGTTGCTCTAGACTAAATATGAGGAGGCATTTATTCATCTCACTTGGACAAAAACATTTCTTATTTTTTTAAATTAATAAAAACAATAAAATGCAAACTCAGAATATTATGCAACATGCTAAATTACACATGCTTTTTGTATTTAATCTCACTATATACAATGTATTTGCTGCTGACCTTCGATGATCCAATTCAACTATACTAATAAGCAAAAATGACTTTAGATGAACATCGCATGGTTCTTTTCTTTTTTTGTTTTACTGTGTTGAACTTTTTTTCAGCAGAACAGTTGAAAGGTTTGTTTGAGCGGCGCCCTCTATTGTACAAGTGTGAATTTGCATTTTCAGCCTGAGGCTTATTCATTTCACTTTTGGTGTGAAAAGGCCTTTACATTTGCGGGAAAAATGACTTTTTTTTGTTGTTTTTGTTATTAAAAATATAAGCTAGCCAGCACCTTCGATGAGGAAAAGTAATGCAAAAGTAGCCTAACATAACGCATTAATTTCCATAAAAAGTAATGCAGTTAGTTACTTTTTTTAACACAATATTGTAATGCGTTACTGGGCTGGTTGATTATGATTTTAGTTAGAACTTTAGTTAGTGTGTAATGTTGCTGTTTGAGCATAAATAACATCTGCAAAGTTACAACGCTTAAAGATCAAAGCAAAGGAAGATATTTGCTTTTAAAGAAATAGTTTAAGGACTTTAACAAACGGCTGGTATCAGGACATTCCTCCCAGGTTAGTGACATCACCAACTCTAAAATTTACATAAACCCCGCCCCAGAGAATAAGATTTATAGATTATCATGACAGAATATATTCTAATCTAGAAGATAACTACACATAAGTCACATAAATGAATCGACTAACCATTCAGAAATTTCCTGTTGCTTCTACATGTTGTCACTTCTTGAGCCTTTCCATCTTTGTCTGACTCCGGTTTGAAAATAAAAGGCTATTTTTTTAAAAAATGTCAGTGTGAGTCTGTGTGAGGTAATCGAAGCTATGGAAGCTTGTTTCCGCCACTGAATAAAAAATAAATAAATAAATAATTGCGACTTTTTATCTCACAATTGCGAGATATGAAGTCAGAATTCGGAGAAATAAAATCGCAATTCAGGGAAATGAAGTTGCAATTGCGAGAAAAAAAGACAGAATTGAGACAGAATTCTGCATTTACATCTCGCAGTTCTGACTTCATAACACATAATTGCAAGTTTATATCTTGAAATTCTGACATCTTTTCTGAGAATTGATTGATATTGTTATAGTGTTAGTTAAATAAATACATAGTTTGTTACAGTTATTTTACATGTATACGTAATGTGTTCTTATTAGCCAATCAGATGTTGTTGCGTCATTACGTAGGGATTAATTCACTGCTTGTTTACGTTTAGCGTCAGTATGCTCGCAGGCTCCGGTGCAGATGGTCGAATATAACCCATCGGCGCTGGGCAAGAGCATACAAACACAGTTGATGTAAAGTTGTGTCTGAATAAGTTCAGTAAAGTTCCTGAACGGACTCTCTTTGTTGTGTGCTTCTCTTCACGCCTCCACGGACACTGTATCCAGCTTAACACGAGAAAGCACAACAAGTGGTGTCAGAAGCTGAGCGTGATTGACCGTCATCAGTGAACTGTGAGTGTTGTGAACTGCTGGGGCATCCTTTGTAAATTGATGGACATTATAACCAATGCCAAACGCTGTTGTGGAGTAGTATTAAAGACTGTTTGACCACGTTTGGTCGTCGCGTTGACCACCATTTCACGTGCTGCACGGAGTTTCCCTTCCCCCATCGGAGAAGCGTGGAGCTGGCAGTCTGCCAAATCTAGCGCTGCTGTTGGCTGCCTGCCAATTTTCACAGAAACTTCTAAACATTCACAGATTCGACATAAACAGCCCTGCAAATCTATATTGAAGTTCACAAACCACATAATTTCAGTATTCAGTATTAAAACTATACTAAAACAATAAAAAGAAAAGACATTAATGGAATATAAGCTTCTGCATAAAGCTGAGCCTTGAAAACAACAGAACTTTATCATCAGTAAAAAAAAAAAAAAAAAAAAAAAAAAAACATTTAAAGCTAAATTGTACTACAACATGGATGAGAGTGAGCCAGAGGTCCACCTTGGAGCATCAGCTGTTCCAGACCCCCCACAATGGCTACAGGCTGTGCTGTCACAACAAAATAAGCAACTTCAACATGCCATTTCACCTTTGCTACAAAGATTGGAAGCAACAGAGGCTAGTTTGTCTGCCCTTATGCAGCGGCCCCATGCCAGTAAGGTAACACGTGGTCCCCACCAACATGATGACTCTTCCTCATTTGCAGCTGCCCCTGATAGAACCCTTATGACAGATGGAGATGCTACAGGGCCTTCAGATGCGGAACAGCTTTTTGCTGCAGAGCTCGCAGTCATTGATAGACACGTACGTAGCCCAATTAGTCCAACTTCCTCCACACCTGGCCCTGATGTAAGACCTAGAAGCCGTGCACAGGTACCCAGCCATTATAATGGCTCTTTCAACTTGGGTCAAAACACGCACACACCTTTAAATGCTGCAGCGCCCACCCATCACCACCCAACCCCTCGTGGTAGAGCTTCAGATGGACCTAAAGCTAAACTTGACACTTACGATGGTAAGGATGACTGGGACTCCTTCATTATTCCTTTTGAGCGCAGAGCTGTCATTTACAGATGGAGTGCAGTAGAGAGAGTGGATAAGCTCCATGAATGTCTACGGGGAGCTGCTGTCAGATATCTGTGCTCATTACCCGAACACATACGTGAAGATTACTTTCTTTTGAAAGAACAGCTGGCTTTCCGATTTGGCCAGAAAGAACCTCCCACCACAGCACGGAGGAGACTTGGAGAACTGCGCCAGTCTAAAGAAACTGTTTCAGAGTTCGCAGAGGAGGTTCACAGGCTGGTCATTTTAGCTTATCCTGGAGTTGACACTGAGCTCAGGGAACAAATTGCTGCTGATGCTTTTCTCAAAGGGCTGCGCAACCAGAAAGTGGCATACGAGGTTATGAACCGTGACCCTGTATCGCTGGATGAGGCACAACGGCTAGTATCATCTTATGAACACAATTTCAAAGCCACACTCGGACGAGACTTTGATCTGAAGGGGAGGACACGTCGAGTATCCTGGGCTGATCAAGACATGGACTCTGATGAGGAGGCACCTGCCTTACAGTCACGTAGAGTGCAGTCACAGCCTGGTTATGTTACACAGCACCAGTTACAAACACTCATTGATAAAGTTGATAAACTGCAATTAGCCATAGCCCGCCTGCCTCCTTCCTCTTCTGTTGTTCTTCCTTCTACCGTAAGACCCACTCAACAAATAAATTCCAGTAAGGCAGTTCAGTCAGAAAGAGGACGTGCAGCTCAAGTCAAGTCAAGCAGATACAGACATCAAAATACCAGCCCCACCAGAACTTCTAGCGGGCCATGCTTTCAGTGTGGGGAGGAGGGACATTTCAAACGAAACTGCTCACGGTCCCCCAGTCCATCTGCAAGTCCCCCTACAAATAATGTTGCCAAAATGGAGCCCTCAAATCAAAGTCACTCTGAACATGCAGAGCAGAGTCCGTCTATTGTACATGTGAGCAGAGCTGAGAGTCGAGGGCCCAGTTTAATGATTTCACTGACTGTCGATGGCATACCAGTTAATGCTGTTATAGACACGGGTGCTGAGGCTACGATAATGTCTGAAGAGACGTACAGCAAATTACCTGCCAAATCGCCTTCAGGACTGAAAAATGTGTGTCTCCGAAATGCAGAAACTGGAAGGGAGATGTCAGCAACAGGTGGAGTGGCAGTGGAATTCAGAATTGGCTCAAAGGTGTTGGAGTGGACAGTTTGCATTGCACCAATTCGCGATGCCTTGCTCTTGGGTTTAGATTTCTTAAAAGCTGCTGATTTCACCATACATGCCTCTGGTAAAGTTTTTATGGGCTCTGAACTCATGCCAGCCTATATATCCGAAGGCAAGGGCCCAGACTATGCCATTTCGAGAGTGATGTTGGAGAGAGATGTCACTGTGCCGCCAGAGTGTGAATGTTTAGTGTGGGGTGTGGTAGACGACCCAAACCCAGAACTCCGGCTGTTCTAGAGCCCGTTACCCTGGCTGATGGAGTGTCGTCAGGCAGCATCATGATTAACATGGAACGGAGGATCCCAGTCAGGCTATGCAATGTCACAGCTTCCAGTAGGCCCTTATTACGGGGAGTCTGTTTGGGTGTGCTTATCGAAGCATATCCAGACGCTCAGGAGGAGGGAGAGATAGCGCACATGGTTCCAGGTGATGCTACATTGTATGCAAAAGACAGGAACTCAACGACACAATATCCTGCCAATGAGCCTCCTGGTGAGCATCACATAAGAAGGGTGTCTTCACCAAACGCTCTAGACCTTCCTGAGCACCTCAGACAGTTGTTCACTGGCGCGAGTGAAACCCTTACTGAGCAGCAACAAGTGATGTTAGTAGCTCTGCTGAGTGAATATCAAACAGTCTTTGCGGCAACTGATGATGACCTTGGGAAGTTCTCTGCTTTGCAGCACAGCATAGACACAGGAGTGTCTAAGCCTGTTCGACAACCAGTACGACGTACCCCTTTAGGGTTTTGGAATGAGGAGGAAACACATCTCAAGAAAATGCTGGATTCAGGTATCGTTGTCCCCTCAAGCTCAGAATGGGCTTCCCCTATTGTCCTTGTAAGAAAAAAGGATGGGGGGGTCCGCTGGTGCGTAGATTATCGCCAGCTTAATGATCTTACCATAAAGGACGCATATCCCCTACCAAAAATAGAGGAATGCCTGGATGTGCTGGGTGGTGCAAAGACATTCTCAACACTTGACCTTCAGTCAGGATATTGGCAGATTGAAATGAATAGAAAAGACAGATCCAAGACTGCTTTTGTGACGAGGTATGGGCTATATGAGTACACCAGAATGCCATTTGGGTTGTGTAACGCACCCAGCACATTCCAGAGGGCCATGGAGTTGGTTCTACGAGGGTTGCAGTGGGACACCTTACTGATCTACCTTGATGACATAATCATTTTCGGTGAAGATGTGGAACAGTGTATGGAGCGGCTTGCAGAGGTTTTTCAGAGGTTGCAGGAATATGGACTAAAGCTGAAACCCTCGAAATGCCACCTGCTAAGAGATGAGGTCCTTTTTCTTGGTCACGTTGTGAGTGGCGAAGGAATTAAGACCAATCCAGCCCTCATTGATGACGTTAGGAACTGGAAGACCCCAACCAGTGTCCAGGAACTCCAGTCTTTCCTCGGTTTGTGCAACTATTACAGGAGGTTTGTTGCCAAGTTTGCTGAAATCACCACACCCTTGACGATGCTGCTCAAGAAAGGGAGTTCCTTCTTCTGGGAAGAGGAGCAGAAAAAGGCCTTTGAACATCTTAAAAGGAGCCTCACAACTGCACCCATTTTGGTGTTCCCAATTACATCTGGACAGTTTGTCCTGGACACTGATGCGTCCAACCAGAGCATTGGAGCAGTTCTCTCACAGTTGCAGTGGGGGGAAGAGAAAGTTATCTCATTTGCCAGCTGTCTCCTCACACCAGCTCACCAGAGGTACTGTGTCACACGTAAGGAACTTCTAGCAGTTGTCAGGTTCACAAGACAGTTCCGCCATTATTTGCTGGGGTCTAACTTCTTACTCAGGACGGATCACAGCAGTCTAACGTGGCTATACAGGTTTAAGAGACCAGAGGGCCAACTGGCTAGGTGGCTTGAAGAACTCAGTCAGTACAATTTCATCATCGAGCATAGGCCAGGTACATATCATTCCAACGCTGATGCTCTGTCTCGAATGACTCTGAATGAAGAACCTTGTGACTGTTATCAAGCAGGAAGAGAGCTAGATAGCTTGCCATGCAAGGGCTGTCGCTTCTGCCGGAAGCTCCACCATCAATGGGCCAGATTCGAGGAAGATGTCGATGATGTCATTCCCTTGGCGGTGAGACGCATACACTCCCTTGACCGTCAGAATGAGGATAGTTGCGCTAACACTCCCAGTGATGTAGATGAAGTAGGTGATGACAACCCAGGTCCTTCCTCAAACTGGCTGCAACCGATGAGTTCGCAAAGTCTCAGGGAAGAACAGTTAGCTGACCCAGACCTTTCAGTTCTCCATAAATGGATGTCTGATGGCTATTTGCCTGCTAAGGAAGAGGTCATGATGCATAGCCCAGCAGTTCGCAAATACTGGCTGTGTTGGTCTCAAGTAGAGATGCGAGATGGGGTCCTCTATTACCGGTGGGATGATTTAAATGGAGGTATGTCATCTCTGCGCTTACTTGTTCCTGTTTCCCTGAAAAATGAGGTTCTCCAATCCTGTCACAATCCAGCTCAAGCAGGTCATTCAGGGGAGATAAAGACGCTTATGCGGCTCCGCAGGTGTTACCAATGGTACAATATGGGGAACGATGTACGCCTTTTCGTGAAGAAGTGCCTACAGTGTAGTTCCTGTAAGACAACAAGTCCCATGGGGAGGGCCAAGCTCCAGAGCTACCAGGCTGGAGCACCTATGGACCGACTCCACCTTGATATCCTAGGACCATTTCCAGAATCCAAGTCAGGCAACAGGTACATCCTCGTTATAATTGATCAGTTTACTCGCTGGGTAGAGGCATTTCCTGTCCCCGAACAAGGAGCTGAGACAACAGCAAAGAGATTGGTGTTTGATTTCATCTCACGTTTTGGGGCTCCCCTTGAGATTCACACTGACCAAGGACGGAACTTTGAGAGTTCGCTGTTCATGGAGGTTTGTCGCCTGTTACAAGTAACCAAGACCCGGACCACACCATATCATCCGGCCTCGAACGGGCAAGTGGAAAGATTCAATAGAACGCTCTTGCAGATGATACGGTGTTATGTGGACCAAAGTCAACGGAATTGGGATGAACATCTTCCCTTACTCACTGCAGCATACAGGAGCACTGTACATTCAGCAACGGGTTTCACACCAAATCAGCTGATGCTGGGGCGAGATGTTTTCCAGCCACATGACATCTGGCTAAGGACGGCTGAGGTTACCAGGGAAGCTAAAAGTACACCTGAGTTTGTCCAAGAACTGCAAGCTAATCTGCAGCAGGCTCATCAAGTAGCGCGTCAGAACTTGCGCACCGCTCAGACTCGCCAGAAAAAGGTCTATGACTTACGAGCCAGAGAGAAGTCCTATCAAGTAGGTGATCTTGTGTCAGTGAGGGTCAGTAGCAGGAGAAAGGGCTACAGTCCAAAACTCCAACCCCCATGGCAAGGGCCTTTGGTCGTCACAGCACGCCTTGGACCAGTGCTCTACCGAGTCAGGGACAGACGAAGTGAGAAAGTACTGCATCATGATCGCTTACAACCCTATCTAAGTGACCACATACCTGCCTGGATGCAGCGTCTGCGACACAAATACACCTGCATCGAGGAAGGCTCACTGATTCCAATAAGTGCTCAGGTACCTGTTGCCACAGGGGCAGAAGCACCAAACCCTTCATCCTCTGCCAGCACTGTGCCGGAAGAGCCTCGGACCCTTCTTGTAACGGATTCTAACTGTGACCCTAATCCCTGTGGAAAAGAGGGGATGAAGACAAAACGGGGGCGACTTGTTCGAGCCCCAAGTCGTTATATGGACTAACAAAGGAAATAGAAGACAACAAAAAGTTAATTGTTCCCCTCAAGAGATGCAGAAGGGACTCTGCAGAGCTAAAAAAAAAGGGGGGTGGTGTTATAGTGTTAGTTAAATAAATACATAGTTTGTTACAGTTATTTTACATGTATACGTAATGTGTTCTTATTAGCCAATCAGATGTTGTTGCGTCATTACGTAGGGATTAATTCACTGCTTGTTTACGTTTAGCGTCAGTATGCTCGCAGGCTCCGGTGCAGATGGTCGAATATAACCCATCGGCGCTGGGCAAGAGCATACAAACACAGTTGATGTAAAGTTGTGTCTGAATAAGTTCAGTAAAGTTCCTGAACGGACTCTCTTTGTTGTGTGCTTCTCTTCACGCCTCCACGGACACTGTATCCAGCTTAACACGAGAAAGCACAACAATATAAACTCGCAATTGCGACTTATCAGGCCAATTCTAAGGGGAAAAAAAGACTTAACTTTTTCCCCCTCAGAATAGTTTATATCTCACAATTCTGACTTTAAATCACACAATTTTGACTTTATACCTCGCAATTCTGACTTTATAACACGCAATTGCGACTATATCTCACAATTCTGACTTTATATCATGCAATTGTGACGATATCAATCAATTCTGACTTTATATCTTACAATTCTGACTATCTCACAATTCTTTATAACACGCAATTGCGAATTAATATCAATCAATTCTGACTTTATATCTCGCAATTCTGACTTTAAATCATGCAATTGTGACTACATCAATCAATTCTGACTTTATATCTCACAATTCTGACTTTATATCAAGCAATTCTGACTTTATATTTCGCAATTCTGACTTTATATAAATCAATTCTGACTTTATATCAAGCAATTCTGACTTAATATAAATCAATTCTGAGTTTATATCTCGCAATTCTGACTTTACAACACGCAATTGCGACTTTATATCAACCAATTCTGACTTTATATCAAGCAATTCTGACTTTATATAAAACAATTCTGAGTTTATATCAAGCAATTCTGACTTTATATTTCGCAATTCTGACTTTATATAAATCAATTCTGACTTTATATCAAGCAATTCTGACTTTATAACATGCAATTGCGACTTTACATCAATCAATTCTGATTTTATAACACGCAATTCTGACTTTATATCTCACAATTGTGACTTTATATCTCACAATTCTGACTTTATATCTCGCAATTGTGAGAAAACGAAAACAAGCTTCCATATGAAGCTGCTCACACACACACACACACACACACACACACACACACACACACACACACACACCACACACACACACACACACACACAGTTATTGAAGCACCGCCCTCAGTGTCGGGAGCAGCAGCTCATTTCATTTAAAGGGACAGACACAAAAAAAGTGCGTTTTTGCTCACCCACAAAAACAATTTTAACATGCTTTACAAAATTATCTGTGGGGTATTTTGAGCTGAAAATTCACATACACCTTCTGGGGACATCAAAACATCAAAGACTTATTTTACATCTTGTGAAAGGGCCTTTTACTAGCCCTTTAAACGTAACTTTCCACAACACTACATATTGAGATCTTGAAGTTGAAGTTCAGACTTTGATATCCTGGTAAATGTGAGTAAGGTTAAAGTCAATGGCGATCTGAGCCATTTTCCGCTCTTCTCCATTTCCACAAGGGTGTTGCACAAGGGATTTGATGCATGAATCCATAACAAGCTTTACTTTTTCTTTGTCCCGTTACATTTTAAGAGAAATCAAACTCAAAACTTTCTTTATAAGAAGCAAGACCTAATCAAAAGTCTCCATGCGCTCCTCTTCAAAGGGATAGTTCACCCTAAAATGTTAATTCTGTTAAGCTATCATATTAAGTTGTTTGTTTCTTCTGCTGAACAGAAATAAAGATATTTTGGGGAATACGGGGAACAAAAAGATGGACCCCACTATAGCTTCCAAGAAAAAAAAAATACTAAGGAAGTCAAGATTTAAAATTTGTGTGTGAAAAATATCCGTCTCTACGAGAAAGACGTGAGATAATATTCAAACCCCAAATCTGCATTCATTTGTCGCATGTTGTTGTGCAGCAATTTAAAATGAATAGAACTCAAAGTATATGAAGACACACAATCATGAAAGTGTCTGAACAATTGAACCCTCTTTGGACTCGTTTATATGCTTAAACTTGATGGTGCATGCATTGAGATCTAGAAGTCTCGTTTTTCAGTCACAGATCAAAGTGCTTCCTGTCCCCTCCTAAATGAAGTTATGTGGAGCAGGACAGTGAATTTGGCTCTGACAAGTGTCTGAATGAGACCGTGTGCTGTGGAGAACCAGGTGAAAACTGAAGAGCAAGGCTTGTGGTTCTGCGTCGCTTCACCTGCTCCCACAGAGATAAGGGCGAGCGGTGATCAAGGATCAGGGGTTGCTATCACCTTCTGGATATCCCACAAACAGATGTTGCACACCTGGGGCATGTTTAAATAAAGCAGTTAATGTCACTATCACAGTGATCACAAGCTAGAAACCAGCACCTTGAAGCAAAAAAAGAGTTTATTTTCCTTTGAATATTTTTTTTATAGAGTAAGATAAATGAACAGATTCACTTTACAAAGCAAAGTATATTTTTGGAAACAATAATGTGCCGAGATTTGAGTGAGAGAACAAGGATTTGAGAGCCCTTTGTTGTGAAGTTTGGAATTGTTTTATTGTCTTTGAAAGAAATCTGCAAAATATCTGCATTTATTTGATTAAAAACAAGAGTAATAATATTGCGAAATGTGTAGAATTTATTTTATTTGAATATATTTTAAAATGTAATTTATTCAGCAACCTTACTTCAGTCTTGGGTGTCACATGACCCTTCAGAAATCAGTATCCACCTTTTTCTGACTGGACGGTTTTCTACTTCCTGCAGTCCTATTTTCACTATTTGTATCTTAATTTCAATCAATGTTTCATCAACCAATTGCCTGGTTTTAATAAATAAGAAGTATATAGTAGATGATTATGACGTAGGCGACAGCGCGCAAACTGACTTTGGTCTCACGAATGAAACGTAACGTTATTATGCCTAAACTCACAGGCCTGAGTGAGAAATATAGACTATCTTTGAAAGTAGGAGTCAAAGGGCTAACCAGCCTAACCTTATAGAACTGTTATTCTGCAGCAGTCGGGGTGAGAGACTGTCGGATGTTTGCTGGAGATCGTGCATCAGCTGTCCTTTAATTCCCAGACAGCAAACTGACGTTGAATCAACGTGGAAACGACGTCTCTCATGACATCGAAACAACGTTGATTTTGCTCATCGAATTAACGTTGAACCAACGTCAGACGCGGCATTCTTCAAAGCTAAATGAAAATCGAAAATTGGTTTGCTTTCATAACGTTGAAACAACGTTGATTTCAAGTTGATTTTCCGTTAGTTTTGAATAAATGACGCGTCTGACGTTGGTTCAACGTTAATTCGATGAGCAAAACAATGTCAGATCAACGTTGTTTCGATGTTTCCAGGTTGATTTAATGTCAGTTTGCTATCTGGGTTGGAAGTTATGAAGCAAAGAAAAACGTTCATTTTGTTTTTATCTGTGATTTAATAAAAAATAACGTGATCAGATCACATTTGATGAATGTTTTTTTCGATTTAGTTTAGCGATGTGGGGATGACACAATCTAAAACACATGGCAAAAAAATAGACCAGACTCGAACCGGAAGTTGACTACCGACATCGTCGTCATGGCAGCGCGCATTGTTTAGAGCAGAAAAAGGTGGATATTGACAAGCTTCAGTCATTTGGCAGCAAAAAAAAGTGGGTGTCTTGTCAAATTTCAGGATGGTTTTGACTTTTGGAGACATATTTTGTTTCTTTATCTTTATCTATCCTCATGAATGCTATACAGTACCAATGAAGAACGATTGGTCTAATACATTTTTGGCATGACAATATAAATGTACACATTATACAGACTGAAGTGGAGAGGTCCAAGGACTGAACCCTGGGGGACGCCACATCATAGAGGTCCATTTATAGTTTCCTATGTTCTCACAGGAACCCATTTCTTCTGTATATGATCTAAACTGCCAGAACCAGCAGTATTCAAATGAATACAGTCTCTGTGCTGGTTTTGTGATGGGAAACCAGACTGGAATTCCTTCTCAGTGATGTTGCCTTACCTGTAAATGTTGCCTGAAAAGCATGGCGTAACAAAACAGCATCAGATCTTTGAATTAATCTGACATTTTTAACAGATTAATCCAAAATACTTCTTTGGCGATTTCATTTTTTCCTCCCATGTCCAAAGATTCACTGAAGGGACATCATTTTCTTGTTTCTTGTCTCTGATAGAGCCACAAGACCTTATGAGAGTGCAGCTGCTTCCACAAACGTCCCTCCATCATCATGTCATGGTTGGCATAGAAGATCAGAGGCTTCATGACCTTGTCATAGTAATGGTCTGAGTAGTTCAAGTAATTGTCTGTGATGAAGCCATACGCAGAGACCTGAGAGAGAAGTCAGCATCCACAACATTTATTTAGCAACACCTGCAGCAATAGACTTTAAATAAGAATGTCAAATGCTGTTGAAGTTTGGAGATTGACCTGGTCACATGTGTGTAAAGCAGTCAGGAGTATTAGAGCACCCGTGCTGGGCATGTAAATATCCCTGAATTCATCCAGCTGAGGGGATTTCAGAAACCTGTTCATCAAAAATACAAATGGCATTACATTGAGGGAGAGAGAGAAAAAAGTGACAATAATGAGTGTATTGGCGAATGTGTCCTGCACCTCTGAGTCACATAATGAACGAAGGATGGATGGATCATCTTGAACTGATGTATTTCAGGATTATATCCAAAAATATCCAAGGCCCTGTTTCATTAACCAAATAAACTGAAGTTAATGAAATGTTCAAATAGCAATTCAAACTCTAGAAGCGGTAGAATGCCTTCTAGAATTACAATTCAGTGATATTTAAGTGAAGCAAAAACAATGCAAAATAGTAGTTTAAATGGAAGCAAAATAAAAACAGATTTTTTTTTTAGAGATGTATGACATTTCTATTGATCTGTATGAATGACCTATAAAGGTATTGTCATACAAAAATAGACTATTTTAACCCCTTAACTGTCACCCCCCCCTTTTTGAGAATAGGGGTTAAATGCTCTATTCACACTTAAATGGTTGTAATTCAAGAATGCTTTGGAATATATACCCAAGCTTGGTCTTGTTTTAAAGAAAACACTCAGCAGATTATTGCTGAAGTGAAAACACTTCAAAAAATGAAAGTATGAAAAAGTTATGGAAGTTTTAATTCACAGTAAATCAAATATACTGTACTATATATTTTTTTATTTTATATAAAATATATATTTTACAAAATATTTGTACTCTAAAATTACTATAAAATCAAAGCCATAAATCTAACCAAGTTATGTTCCAAATTTGAAGTTGATATCACAAAAATTGAAGTTCCCATGAGATTTTTTTTAGGCGTAGTACCAAAAATAGCCACCGGGTGCCATTGAATTCCATTGAATTTAGTTGTGTACATTCTGCCTTAACAAATTAATACATTTCTGTCCAAATATCAATTTTGTCACAAAATTTGGAACCTTGAGACTCAGACCTTTCTGACAATATGGGTTTTGTCAAGATTAGAAAAGGTTTTGATAATAAATTATGAAATATAATGATACCCAAAAGGGGAGGAGCCTGATAAAATAAGTACCGTTTCTATGGTAACACAACTTTCAATTATAAAACAGTTTTCACAGGATGAATTCTGTGTTTGTAAGCTTTCAAATGATACCTAATTTATGATAACTACTAAAATATGTGATATAATAAAAAAAGGTGATAAAAAATATTATTATATTTTAGAGGATAATATATACATAAATATTATAATTTTTAGAGGATAATGTTATACTATACTTTTTATTTTTTATTGAAAAATACTAGATTATATGTTTTATTATTAACTTTTAGCATAAAAACAGAAGTTTCAATGATTAAAAGTGGGTGTATCAACTTTTTGTGACAAAGGTCAGACCTCCTGTTATGATGCAGATTTTTTTAGGTGCACTCTTGTCATAAATTCATTAATTACTCTTCCTACATAATTTGTAACACAAAACAGGGGCAGAATATTTATTTAGAAGTCTTAGACCTTTCCAACAATATATAATTTGTCATAATTAGATTAGGATTTAATAGAAATATAGTGAAGTAAAGTTAGGCGTCCCGGTACCGGGACGGTGACAGTTAAGGGGTTAAATAGGAACAATCATACAGGGTGAATTCATGCACATTTGGCCATTTATTTCATTTCAAAAACAAAAGTAAATTAAATTGTATATATTAAAAGTTTTTTCTAAATTTGGGGTATGAATTTTCATTATAAGTAACTGCCATCTTACACATTCTGTAAAAAACCCTGTGGTTCGTTCAGTAATAAATACATAAAGTCCCCCTGTGGTGAAAATCCAGCTTTTAATGTTGTTTATGTGGTGTTTTTAATATGCTTTATTTAAGACACAACATGTGTAAATTCATAAGTCGACAGCATTGCTGAGTATTTTCTGCTTAAAACTGCAGTGAACCAAAGACAGTCTCAAAAACACGGTTTGAAATCACGGTGGAGGCGGGGCTCATTTGAATATTCATAAAACCGTGCATACTAAATGAGGCAAGGGTGTAGAGTTATACTCACGCTGTTTTGGCATGAAAGGAAAAAGTTTAAATATGTAATTTTGGTGATCAAAGATGAGTTTTTAAAAAAATGTATATGTTTTAAGCAGTGTTGGAGCTAGCAGTTACTCTACATTAAAGGGTTAGTTCACCCAAAAATGAAAATTAAGTCATTAATTACTCACCCCCATGCTGTACCAACCCCGTAAGACCTTCGTTCGTCTTCGGAACACGAAGATATTTTTGATTAAATTTGAGAGCTGTATAACTACCACATAGACTTCCGGGACTGGCTCTTGACGGCCCAGAAAGTCAATGAAGAAAATGTTTAAATATCCCAAGTGACTACCGTGGCTCAACTATATGTTTATCAAGCGACGCGAATACTTTTTGTGCGAAAAAACAAACAAAAATAACGACTTTATTCGACTATTTCTTTTCTTCCTTGTAGGCCAGAACGAGACTTCCTTAGATTTCCACGACGCATGCGCGAGAATTGCGATCTGCTTACACCAGCTTACACTACTTCAGATCGCAATTCTCGCGCATGCGTCGTGGAAATCTAAGGAAGTCTCGTTCTGGCCTACAAGGAAGAAAAGAAATAGTCGAATAAAGTCGTTATTTTTGTTTGTTTTTTCGCACAAAAAGTATTCGCGTCGCTTGATAAACATATAGTTGAGCCACGGTAGTCACTTGGGATATTTAAACATTTTCTTCATTGACTTTCTGGGCCGTCAAGAGGCAGTCCCTTAGGAGCCAATGTGGTAGTTATACAGCTCTCAAATTTAATCAAAAATATCTTCATTTGTGTTCCAAAGACGAACGAAGGTCTTACGGGGTTGGTACAGCATGGGGGTGAGTAATTAATGACTTAATTTTCATTTTTGGGTGAACTAACCCTTTAAATTCAGCTTCACTACACTGAAGCTGCCTTCCTGGGAAATGTAGCAAGCTAAGCTACAGCAATATGGCAAAAGTAGCTTACATCTAAGCTATTTTTTTTATTATTATTCATTTTTTATCATTTTTTTAATCATTTTTATCATCATGTCAGTCAAACAGATAGGCAGGCATAATTTATCAGTTCAATTGTTTATTCATAAACTGTTCCAAACCAGATTGGAAAAAAAACATAATTATAAAAAACTAACATAACTATATAAAACCATGTAACTATATAGAACTATAACAAAAGGTGTCGAGAGAGTGTGCATCTTTATGTCTGATGTGTCAGCCAAGGATTGCGATTGGTACGTGATCGATGCCCGCGTCCGGAACAGAATGTGGTAGTAATGCACCTAAATCTGGCCTTATGATTTTTTTTTGTATATATATATTGACTCCCATTTTAATAAATTAATTTTGCATGTCTAATTCATTGAAACCACGAAACTTATAGCCAAAAATTTTACAATCATCTATTAAAATATAAAAATTAATTAAATTTAGGCACTTTGTTTAAAAAAAATGGTTTTCTTTTTGTTTTGTTTTCTTGATTCAATTTTAATGGTTTAATTACATTAACAACCAATGATTTAAAATGTGATGATTTAAGCAAAACTTTTTTATTTTGACGGGTTGCCATGTAGACCTTTGTCTCTGTGTGTTTTTATGATATGACGATAGTTTTTTTCTCAAATCCAGCTGAAATGCTGCTGAAGTGAATCTTGGAGCGGCTGTGTAGATAATCCCATATTGGGTATGTGGCCAATTCAACTCAGATTCATGAACTAAAAGAGAGGGTTACTGTTACAGTTACTACTGTTATAATAATAATAACAATAATTAAAGCTGCAAGCAGCATTTATCGGGGTTCAAGCAGTTAAGGCATTTAAGGCCTTTGAGCACAAAAGCATCAAATGACATTAAGTTTTATGTAGCAAGCATTTAACCACTGAGATCATTGATGGAATAGACCATGTTTTAGCATGATTTACCATGATTTATCACATTTCAGGGTTATTTTTCATGATTTACCATGTTCCAGTATGATTTACCATCGATCTAACATGATTTACCATAGTTTACATTGATTTACCATGTTAAATTGCATGATTTAGCATGATTTATCAAGTTCCAATATGATTTACCACGTTCTAGCATGATTTACCATGATTTATCATGTTCCAATATGATTTATCACTTTCTAGTATGATTTACCATGTTCTACCACAGTTTAAAATGATTTAACACATTGCAAGACAACATTCTGACAAAATATGAATGTGTTATTATTATTATTAATAATAATAATAATAATATGAAAACATTTCCCCAACCCTTGCATTTGTCATCTTTTACATATTACTAATTATTTTAATAGCCTATCTGTCATCTTGAACAAAAGAATTATTTGGACAAAACACTTAAATATACACCTCATCATTGCATTTTCTATTTTCAAAACTACCTTCAATTTCTGATCTGAGCACGTTTTGCAAAGACTTTTAATCACATTGTGTGTCATCTGAGCCAGTTCCTACAGTACATGTGAATTCGGCTCAGCCCAAATTGTAGGAGTAGAGCACCACCTGCTGCTCATTTTGTGCGCTGCAGGGTTGCTAACATTAAAAAAGACATCAAATAGCAACGTGTATGAATATTATTGTCACACCCACCCACCTTACACCTTTATCAGGTCCGGAGGGTACAGACACACCCTGGATGGCAGCTGACAACATCGTATAGTCTCGTGTTTCCGCGGGTATAAAAATATATCCAATGCCCTGTGGTGATAACGTCTAAGACATTAGTCATTTATTTCGCACTGCAATTAATCAGCAAACCAGCAAAACAACTTGTCGCATTATAATTCCTATTAAATAGCAAACGAGAATGTCGTTTACCGGGTCACGTGGCACCTGGTCGAACCCGTCTTCGTAATACGCCATAATGGAGTTCTTGAGGGAGTTGGTGGTGAAGCCGTAGAAAGACGTCTTTGTCCCAACATCGTCTTCAAAACCTTTGATGACTGCCCCATTAACTCTAAAAAATATTAATTACAATTATTATTAGTATTATTGCCCTATCATGGCAGTATAATCCAACTAGTAATCTAAAGAAAACAAATTGACAACAAAATAAATGCCCCAGATATTTGGTTTGCCCATGCTGTGAATGTTTTTTTTTTTAATCAGATTTCTAATATTTGATAATATTTCAAGATATTTTGTTCTAATAATTGGTTTAGTGTAGCTATGTTTTACCAGGGTTTAAAAAAAAAAAAAAAAAATCTTTTAGATGCCACAGCCACATAAATATGATCATTTTCCTGTGAGGGACCCTCATCCTAAAATGTATTAAGTTTCTGTTTCTAAGCATTAAGTTTCTAGACCCAATTTGTACTGTAAAAAAAAAAAAAAATCATAATTATGTCAAAATATTATTTGGAAGGTTACATTATATTTGTTTCCACCCAATATAGTACTGTACTATGTATTTATTAATTTATTCACTCATTTACTTATTTTACTCTTTTTATTCATGTTTAATAAAATTTTAAACTAAATTAAAAATAACTAATTTTTACACTTTTTTATAGCTACAGAGATCTGAATAATCCAACATATGGACATTATTCACAATGCATTCTAGCAAGGAAATGTTAGATGATATGTTAATAAGGATAAATAGTACTTTAATAAAATAAAATAAAATATAAAATGGCATATTTTAATAAAATAATTATATTTAAATTGATTTAAATATATCTATACTGGTGCCATTATGGAAAGGCTCTATTCACTGTTTGTCATGATTGGTGTATTCCAGAGATGATGTGGTTGGTCATGTGATCTCGACATGTCCACCCCCATGAGATGACCTACTCAAATAAAAATAGTTTTATTGGGCTACTTATATGATGTCAGTGTTGGGTAAGTTACTCTAAAAAAAGTAATTAATTACTAGCTACTAATTAAATCTTGAACAGTGTAATTCGATTACTGTAATTATTCTCTCAATATAAAGTATTGCAAATCACTTTCTAAATCCCAATTCAATCTCGACCAGTTGAACAGTACAAGGATGGACACAAAACAGCTCTGTTAATTATTTCAAATAAATAATATAAAATTGCAAAAATGATTCTTTAACTGAATAAAGTATTTAAAGTGAGAAGGATACTGTCACGGCTGGCTGATCAGGCAGGACGCCGAAATAAAGCTGGATCTACTCGCGTGCTGTGTTTATTTTCAAAACGCAAAAATTGTAGTAACCTGGGAAAACCCAGACAAATTCTGGCAAATTTAAATTTGCTCTGAAAGTTAGTCTGGCAGAGAGCTCATTCAAGCCCATTTCCAATCCGTCGAAATCGCGGCACCAATCCGAAACGTTGGCGCGGGCTTTACACGATGACGACAAGGCTGGGATTGTGAAGCAAATTTTGTAGCCTACATTTCAAAGATGGACGCCGCCGTTGAACATCACTCGTTCGAATCAGCTATCGCGTCTGTTTTAAGCGATTTGAACGTTTCCTTTTTGTTAAAAACTGAGCAAAGAACAACACTCAGAGTTTCTCCGCCGCTCTGCATACGTCATTTACTTCATCGCTCTGATTGGTTTTAGGTCTATCCGCGATGTCTGTTGGTGACGCCCCTCTGGAAATGATTTGTCTATGACGCTTTGCCAGACCAAAACTTAGTTACAACCGAGAATGGTCTGGTTTTAACCAGGCTAAAATTGTAGCAAAAACTCTCAGGAAACTATTTCAAATCCAGGAACAGAAACATCCAACTAAAGCCTAGTTCATACTACATGATTTTAAGCCCGATTTGCAAATCGTTGAGCTCGCCGACAGGTCAGGGTGTTATCGCGTGCAAAACACGGGGGATTAGCGGACGATGAACGCTCGCCAATCTGTTAGTATTAAAGGGTTAGTTCACCCAAAAATGAAAATTAAGTCATTAATTACTCACCCCCATGCTGTACCAACCCCGTAAGACCTTCGTTCATCTTCGGAACACAAATGAAGATATTTTTGATTGAATCTGAGAGCTGGATCAGTCCTACATAGACTGCCTAAGGGACTGGCTCTTGACGGCCCATAAAGTCATTAAAGAAAAGGTTTAAATATTCCATGTGCCTACAGCGGCTCAATTATAAGTTTATCAAGCGACGAGACTACTTTTTGTGCGAAAAAAAACATTAATAACGACTATTCGACTATTCCGATACTTCCTTATGGGCCTTGAGACGAGAATTGAAGAGATTTCCAGAACGCATGCGCGAGAACTGAGACGAGGACGTTCTTCTTCGACTACTTCTTCGGCTGCTCACCGCTTAGGAGTTTTACCGCCACCTACCGTATAAGATGATGATCCATATATAAGGCGCTCCAGATTGTAAGGCGCACAGCACTGTCGTATTTGAGAAGATTAAAAGCTTTTAAGTGCGACTTATAGTGCGGAAAATACGCTAATTGAAACGCGTATGTACAGCGTGCATCTTCCTCTGCTTGTAAACAGGAAGCTTTGCGCTTCCAGCTATATCAGCACATCATCTTATACGGTAGGGGGCGGTAAAACTCCTAAGCGGAGAGCAGCCGGTAACAAGAAGTGGTCGAATGAGAACGTCCTCGTCTCAGTTCTCACGCATGCGCCCATAAGGAAGTATTGGAATAGTGGAATAAAGTCGTTATTTATGTTTTTTTCGCACAAAAAGTATTCTCGTCGCTTGATAAACTTATAATTGAGCCACTGTAGGCACATGGAATATTTAAACCTTTTCTTTAATGACTTTATGGGCCGTCAAGAGCCAGTCCCTTAGGCAGTCTATGTAGGACTGATCCAGCTCTCAGATTCAATCAAAAATATCTTTATTTGTGTTCCGAAGATGAACGAAGGTCTGACGGGGTTGGTACAGCATGGGGGTGAGTAATTAATGACTTAATTTTCATTTTTGGGTGAACTAACCCTTTAAAGAGCCAACAACGCATCAAATACGCGTCGCCGAGCCCAGAAAAAATATCTAAAGCCTAGATCACAGTACATGATTTTAAAACGTCGGGCTGAACTGTGCGGTTCACACTACATGACTTGCTCTCTGTGAAATCAGTGTTCAAGTTGTTTAGCTGTTCACACCACACGACACATTAGGAGGTAACGCACTACACGAGTTGACAACAACTCGTCACCCGACGATTCTATCTTGTCTTCAAACCACGTTTTGTCACGAAAAATCACACGATAAAACGAACCGGAAATGACACGAAACAGCACGTGCGCCAATACCCAGCGAAGAAGAGAAGAACACAACACGCGAATATGGACGTCAGACAGAAACTAGCGCTGCAAACTGTTTGCGGGATGATTTGCTCTGAGAAAAAAAAAAATCTAAAATTTAAGATTTACCCGGTGACCTCAACGCATGCCTTGCTCTGATTGGCTGGAGGTTATGACCTCACTGAGTTTAAGTCGCGCGACAGCTCTGGATATCTAGCATGCTAGATATTTTTCTGGGCTCGGAGACGCGTTGTTGGCTCTTTCATTCATACTAACAGATTGGTGAGCGTTCATCACCCGCTAATCCCCCGCGATTTGCATGCAATAACACCCTGACTCGGCGAGCTTAACGATTTGCAAATCGGGCTTAAAATTCTGTAGTGTGAACTTGGCTTAACATGCTAGATATCCAGAGCAGTCGCACGACTTAACCTCAGTGATGTCATGAGCTACAGCCAATCAGAGCAATGCATGGGTTGAGGTCACCGGGTAAATCTTATTTTTTCTTTTTTTGCAATTTATTTCTCAGAGCAAATCATCGCGCAAACAGTTTGCAGCGCTAGTTTCTGTCTGACGTCCATATTAGCGTGTTGTGTTCTTCGTCTTCTTCGCTGGGTATTGGCGCACGTGCTGTTTCGCGTCATTTCCGGTTCGTTTCGTCGCGTCATTTTTCGTGACAAAACGTGGTTTGTTGACAAGATAGAATCGTTGGGTGACAGAGTTGTTGTCAACTCGTGTAGAGCGTTACCTCCTGTTGCGGATCTCTCCAGTAGCACCTCAATGCAGCACTAGAACGCACAAACCTGAAAACATAATCGTGACTGTCTATGACCTTCCCCTGCCCGGATCCTTTGAGGATACCTCCGTTACCCACCACGGCACAACGCAGACATGCATCCGGCGTTTTCCGCTCAAACAGACGACTGTTGCCAGGATGTGAAAGCAATGAAAGAGTCTTGCCAATTTCTAGAAAACAAAGATGCTTTGAGAACTTGTATGCTTTTGTTTTGTTTCCTTGTTTGTGGCACTATCGCTATAGGATGGGTTTACCATGGAAAGGCTGGTCCTTCCAGCCGTAGGGCAGCGGTTCACTCTGGAGCGTTTGCCAATGTGAGTAAATATAAGAATCACGCCACTGCAGGACAGGCACTGAGAAGCTAAAAATTTTTTTCAGACTGTCTTCCTGCTTTACGATACGTCTCAAAGAGCAGGATGGCACTTCCTCTTCAGCGATTTCGTTAACAATCCAGCTTACATCCGTAGCCCTGTAGAGTAAAGCAGATCAAAATCTAAGAGAAAGTCTTTCTTTAACAAGAGGGGAATTATATGAACCAATATATTAGGTATATTAAAAAACAGAAACTTGACCCCGTTAACCTTTCAATACCAGAACACATTCCTGTATAGAGAAACTAAGAAACAGTTTCCCTTCAAATGTTAATGGGATATGATACCGAGTGCCATTGCATTTCAGCACATTTAGAAGAAGATTAGAAATTAAATTCATGGTTCAAATCCACATTGTTGACAAATGAAATTTGCGAAATATCTCGAGTTTGTCTTACCAAATCAGTGGCCCGGTTAAGGTAATACTAGACTATATGCAGAACCTTTGCCAAGTCAAACATGCACCTTGCAACTTTGTGGATCCTGAAACAACGTTCCAGTCAGCCAACAAGACTTGAAGGATAAGATTAAAGTTGATATCAAATTTAGGTTATCAAGGTCACGATTATTCACCCTCTGATTTTAGGGAGAATGTATGGTAAGGTTAGGTTTAGCTGTAGGGATAAGGCTACATTTTCAGACAGGAATGTTGTTCCATGATCAACAAAGCATGTTGGCCCAAGAACATGTCTAACATAAGTATAAATATATTTATACATAAATATCACATTTATACTTGTTACAACACAGACAGCAAACTGACATTGAATCAACGTGGAAACGACGTCTCTCATGACATTGAAACAACGTTGATTTTGCTCATCGAATTAACGTTGAACCAACGTCAGACGCGGCATTCTTCAAAGCTAAATGAAAATCGAAAATTGGTTTGCTTTCATAACGTTGAAACAACGCGTTGATTTCAAGTTGATTTTCCGTTAGTTTTGAAAGAATGACGCGTCTGACGTTGGTTCAACGTTAATTCGATGAGCAAAACAATGTCAGATCAACGTTGTTTCGATGTCATATTTCCACGTTGATTCAATGTCAGTTTGCTATCTGGGACGGTATAAAAATAAATAAAACTCCCGTGCAAATTAATTAATGCAATGCGGAACTACTGTTAGATACGCGGGTTCTTTGGGGACACATAATCTGTACCATCGGCTAGCTAAGAACGCACGTTCACTTCAAACGTTGGCTTTATATGCGCGTCCTATAGACCATTTCACAAGATGTAAACAACACTGACCCAGATCACTTTCTGTTTCAGTTTTTTAACACTACGTAAAAGCTGGGATAAAATACAACCAACAGAACATTTAAAACTGAATCAAAAAGTTAAACAAACATCTTTAAGATGTTTTCTTTACATGTGAAATAAAGAAAACAGTTACAAACTGAAACACGAAGTGCTTCTGGACCAGTGTTGTTTACATCTTGTGAAATGGTCTATTCGATTTGGACTAGCGTCGAACTAGACGCGATAGACGCGATTTTGACGCATAATGAACAGGCTGCGATGTCAAGATTTCAATGCTGGAGTGAGTGTGTGTGTGTGTGTGTGTGTGTGTGTGAGTGAGAGAGAGAGAGAGAGAGAGAGAGAGAGAGAGAGAGAGAGAGAGAGAGAGAGAGAGAGAGAGAGAGAGAGAGAAAGAGAGAGAGAGAGAGAGAGAGAGAGAGAGAGACGTGCGCAATAGAACAGTGGAATCATAAAAAACATAACTGTTACTTCGTCATTTTGTTCAGATCATTAAACCTGCAAACCTGTTTCTTCTTTATATTTGTGTACACTCACAATAAAACACAACATTGTGCTTTTGTCACACTGTAAACCCTTGACAAACTGTAACCCAACCAAAATCACACATATATCCACACACTGTTTTAAAAGCAACACATATTTATCCAACTCCATTTCAAAACAGTCTGTGGTTCCCATCTTTTGGACATTCATATTGAACTGGTTTTCATTTCTTGTCCTCGGAGCAGTAATCTTACACATTCTTCATTGATTAAAAAAGAAAATCGAATGTGTTTTTAATGTTAGTATTATTTTATACAGAAATCAATTATTTATCATTCAGATGAGAATAATGTTACATAAAATTAAGGGAAACAAATATATTGATCTGAAATAATTTTAAATTAATTCAGGTACAATTACCAAACATATCACAAGGTCTTTTTATTCATTTAATTAATAAGCTAATTATATAAAATTGTCAGTGCACTACAAATAAACTGGTTCTATGCCTTTATTAATAAAAGAAGTTCTTAGAAGTCAGTTTTCTATACATACATATATGCATGAACATTTGTATAGCATTAATGTACAAATAAAAAAGTTCCTCTGAAAAACTAAACTTGTAGTTAGGCACTGGTTTGGTATAATAAAAGTCATTTTCACGCTGTGCAGGGCCCCACCACCCCTCTCGAATCAATGTAAATGGTACGACCCGCAGGCCAGGTGCTTCTGCTGCGGACCTGCGGTGAACAGTGTTGCCAACAGCGCCTGTGTATATTTAGAGCGACTTTTTAGACCCCTTTAGCGGCATTTTCTTTCCCCAAAAAAGTGACTAGTGGCAATTTTAGCGACTTTTCGGACAAACCTCAGTAACATCCAAATGTTGCCAGTACAATAAAATAAATAGGAAATGAAAACAGCTTTATTTGACATTCGGCTATATTATATTAAATACAGCATTAGAGAGAAAGCGCACTAGGCTGACAGAAGTAGACGCGATAACGTCAGTAATATGCTAAGTGATGTATGATGTCATTTAGCGACTTTTAGGGAAGGCCTTATTAGCTATTTTTTCTTTGAAAATAGTTTGGCATCTCACTAAGTAGCACTTTTGACAAAAAAATTAAAATATATTAAGCAGAGTGTGGCTTATTTTGTTTACATTTTAAGTTTTTTATGATAAAAAATACAATACCCCACCATTGGTATCACTATATGGTATTTGGTACGGGGCCCAGCAAGATGGTTTGTTATGTATGTCTTAAAGGTATAGCGGAGGATTTTCTTTTTCCGGGTGGGTAGTCTATACTATTGGTCCACCTAAGTGTCAATCATTCTGGTGATATGTTTACGTAAGGCCGTCGTCATTTACGTCGTCACGTAAGTCGCACCGCATAGACACGGTAAACATCTCAATTTGTCTAAAGTAGCCTTTTGACCAAATGATAAATGGTATCACCCTGAAATATTCTAAAACCTTGTGTGTTCATGTGTTCATATTCTAAAACCTTGTGTGTTTATTATTACACAAATGCAACAAGCTACTTCTCCATTACATATGCAACTATGTATAAAAATAACGTATTATTAACAATGAGAGATATTAGGTTAAGGACCAACGTAATAGCACTGCTTATATGTTGCCATGTAACATAATTGCGATTTGCAAAATAGTTTCCTCAGAACGTATTTCGTGTGATACAGGGTTGCATATCATGTCTTGAGTCCTCGGTCACTCAATCGATCAGTATAATAAGTAAATAAAACACGGAAGGGCATTTGACATGTTGTCTTTTTTATGAATGTTTTTGAGTTAGTTTATAATTTGCAACATAATTGTGTAAGGCGTAATAGACGTTCCCTCTCGGGAGCAAGAGTGTTGTGTTTGTGCATGTGCATTTTTTTTTTAAAAATTGGAGAGGGCGGGTCTTCTCTAAAATTCGGAAAGATCCTCCGCTATCCACAAGTTTCCGAGGGGCGCTCATGTAAAAAATAAAGTGGGTGAAACTTCCGGTGAGGCGGCGGAAGTAGCATTCCAATGGTATTTTGTGTGTTAGTTAGCGAAGAGGCTAGCTGTTTTTCGGAGAATTATTTTACTATTTAAAGACGCAAATCTTTATGAGAGATGTCGTTACGGAGCTCAGGGACAACATGTGCTGTTCGCGGTTGTATGTATAACCGGACTAAACTAATTTAGTGGCTTAAACGTGATTGTTTTGAACATAAGCTGAAAACGAAATCAGAGTGATCCTGCCAGAGCCCGTCTCTGATCCTGCCAACGACTGTAGTTTCCATCAACCTCCCAAAAGACGACGAATCTTCCTGTGTACATTTGTTTAAATTCTTAATGTTCTATAAACTCTATCAGCATGTGATTGGCTGTTCGCTACTGATGTTACACCTAAACTCAGGATCAAAGCCTGTGTTGACAGAATACCAAATGTGCCAGTTAATGTATTCAAGTAGCACATTCATTTATAATTTTGAATAAACTCCAAAGCACAATGACTAAGTGTGTATTTTTTATTTTAATTGTTTGTCAGCTCACACAACTGTCTGTCAACATGCCTTGATCAGTATTGATGATTAATAATGTTAATAATACTCCCAATCAACTACTGCGGAGGGTAAAGGTACTGTTATTTCACCCTTTTGAATTTCGTTGAGGTTGTGTTCCCACATCGTTAGCTAGTTTGGATCGCCATAACTTGAATGACTGTCAACTGTTGAATGAACGAGTGTCAAGCATGTCAAGTAGCGCTTTGTTTACTTCAAACTGGAAGTCGCGCCCACTTTTGACGCAAGGCCTCATGGGGCGTAGGAAACTTGTGGATACCTTTAACATTGTTATTGTCACGGGTGCGGGTACAGGCAGAAGGACGAACAGGCAGAGTCCAGAAAGCTCCAATATAAGGGTTTAATTACAAATAAACTGAAGACAGGCAGGCAGAACACAGCGTAACATTAACATCGATCGACAAAGACTGAAGGAAACTGAGGGAACTAAATACACAGAAGAATCAAACATAATGGGGTGAGAACAGGTGAAACAGATGACGATGACGAGGAACAGGTGGCTGATGAGGGAGTGAACACGGGATAGGGTGACGAGAGGATCCTGGGAAGTGTAGTGCTGAAGACAAGACAGGATGGTGCAGACGAAGACTGTGACAGAACTCCCCCCTCCCGGGAGGCGTGACCTCACGCCGCAGAACAGAGGAAGGAGGGGGGACGAACTGGGGGCTGAGAGGGGTGTGGCCAGGGCGGAGCAGGCTGAGGGCGTGGCCAGGGCGGAGCAGGCTGAGGGCGAGACCAGGGCGGAGCAGGCTGAGGGCGAGACCAGGGCGGAGCAGATGGAGGGCGAGACCAGGGCGGAGCAGATGGAGGGCCAGACCAGGGCGGAGCAGATGGAGGGCGAGACCAGGGCGGAGCAGATGGAGGGAGGACCCCTGGTGGAGCCGATGGAAGCGGGGCTGACAACACCAGGGGGCCGACTGACAGGGGCGGAGCAGATGGGAGAGGGGACCAGGGTGAAGCAGAGGGACAGACAACTTTGGGTGCTGAGGAGGGACCGAGGGACCATGGTGACACCGTAGGTACAGGTGACAGAAGTGACGACAGGGGCACAGAGGGACACGGTGAGGCCAGAGGGAGTGAGGGCTGACGGGTGACTGGAGGGAGTGAGGAGTCCGACAGAACCGGGGGGGTGACATGACGGGGCGGAGCCAAGGGAAGGAAGTCCAAAGGTGAAGGGAGGATGACGAGGGAACGAAGGGAGTCCGGAGGGTCGAGGGAGCCTGGTCGAGCTGGTGGACTGAGGGGCCATGGAGGAGCTGAGGGAGGTAGGAGCCACGGGGGAGCTGATGGGACAGAGGGCCGAGGAAGTGTCTCTGAGGAGGAGGTGTGAGGCGAAGACCGGGGATCCAAGGACCAGGCTGGTTTAGGGGAGCTGAAGGGCAGGAGAGCAGAGCGAGGACAGATGAGAGGAGGCGGGAGTGGGAGGCAGGGTGGGATCCCGGTCTCTGGCGCTGGCTGGACGGTCCCTGGCGCTGGCTGGACGGTCTCTGGCGCTGGCTGGACGGTCTCGGGCGCTGGCTGGACGGTCTCGGGCGCTGGCTGGACGGTCTCGGGCGCTGGCTGGACGGTCTCGGGCGCTGGCTGGACGGTCTCGGCGCTGGCTGGACGGTCTCGGGCGCTGGCTGGACGGTCTCTGGCGCTGGCTGGACGGTCTCTGGCGCTGGCTGGACGGTCTCTGGCGCTGGCTGGACGGTCTCTGGCGCTGGCTGGACGGTCTCTGGAGGGCTGGACGGAACCAGCAGTGAAGAGCATACAGTCTCTGGAGGGCTGGACGGAACCAGCAGTGAAGAGCATACCATCTCTGGAGAGCTGGACGGAACCAGCGGTGAAGAGCATTCAATCTCTGGAGCGCTGGACGGGACCAGCGGCGAAGAGCATTCAGACTCTGGAGAGCTGGACGGAACCAGCGGTGAAGAGCATTCAATCTCTGGAGAGCTGGACGGAACCAGCGGTGAAGAGCATACAGTCTCTGGAGAGCTGGACGGAACCAGCGGTGAAGAGCACTCGAGCAATGGAGTGGGGCTGGTGACGTCATACATGGTAAAGGGAGATCCACATGACACCAGCACCCACTCCACATAGGCCACAAAGTCCCCTCGAGGCCCGTCTCCGGGCAGGCGTGCCTTGGTTTCAGCGTTTAGGCCTGCCCGGAAGAACACACAGAGGCTTGTGTCATCATAGTGAACGTGAGGTACCAAGTCCAAATACCTCTGTGTGTGGGCCTCGAGGGATTGATCCTCCTGCTCCAGGAGGAGAAGTTGTACAGCTGCTAAATCCATTTTTGGTGGTCGATCGATCTGTCACGGGTGCGGGTACAGGCAGAAGGACGAACAGGCAGAGTCCAGAAAGCTCCAATATAAGGGTTTAATTACAAATAAACTGAAGACAGGCAGGCAGAACACAGCGTAACATTAACATCGATCGACAAAGACTGAAGGAAACTGAGGGAACTAAATACACAGAAGAATCAAACATAATGGGGTGAGAACAGGTGAAACAGATGACGATGACGAGGAACAGGTGGCTGATGAGGGAGTGAACACGGGATAGGGTGACGAGAGGATCCTGGGAAGTGTAGTGCTGAAGACAAGACAGGATGGTGCAGACGAAGACTGTGACAGTTATATACAGTGGCTTCTCTTACAGCATTTTTTCTTATCACAGCACCAGTTTATCAGGAAGTGACGAACTCTTCGACTGATTGGATGGAAATGGTGCTTTATTCGGTGCCAAAAAAAGCGCTATATAAATTTAATGAATTATTATTATTATTAATTATTGTATATATACCTTTTTCATATTTTAACTCATGTTTTATTTGTACAGTCAGTAAAGGAAGCAGCAGAACTTTGATGTTTATTTTAATCTTATAATTACAACCTGAGGTAAGAGGCATGTGTTTTTCAAAAAAATGAAAGTCAAGAAGAATGAATGTGCCTGTTGTCAATTATTGGGAACATGATACACAGAACCAAAGCTGCCTGTGAAACAGAAGGCTTATTTACATAAAAGACACGAAAAGTTCTCGCACGGTGTCCAGAAAATTTGCTTAAACACCTGGGAACTCATTAACATGGTTGGCTTGATTTGAACATTGGTGGCTTGATGTTAGTTGAAGTATGTTTTTCCTATTTTGCGGTTACATGTAAAGTTGATTACTGCAGGTAATTGATAACTGACATAATTCCTAGTTTGCATAGGATAGATAGAACATATTTTGTTTTATTTAAGCATCTGAAACCTTTTCATTTTGATAGTTTTCTCCTTCAAAGTGCCGTGGTGGGAAGTCCAACTTTATTTAACTTGTGAGGGTGGCGGATATCGCAGGGACTCAACACTTTAAAAGCTTTTGCTTCTTTGTACTTGGCTTATAAAAATGTATCTTAGTTCTTGTCTTTGTGGCATTTGTTAAACCTATTGTTATAGGTATAACCATTGATGGCTCAAGGGAATTAAAGGGGATTTTAAGGTATTAAAATGGATAGAACTGTAAAAGTTCCTGTGGCCGGTTACCTAAACTCACTCTAGTCTTTAAAGTTAGTCATATCAAGGCTGGTTCTAACAATTCAGTTACATAAAAAGGTAAATATATATCATTTTAATCAGAAATATATGCTTTAATACAAACCATGTGTATATTCATAAGTCGACAGCATAGCTGATTATTTTCTGCTTGAAACTGCAGTGAACCAAAGACCAAAGTCTCAAAAACACGGTTTGAAATCGCTGGTGTTTCTGACGTCACACACCTAATTTGCATATTCATAAAACCTCTACACCAATGAGTCAAGGGTGTAGAGTTACATTTAAGCTATTTTAAGACATGACGGTTTTCCTCAAGGAAAAAACTTTTGAATATGTAATTTTTGGGAGTTTTTTTAAGCGATAAAATTATCTACTTTATGTTTATAAACTTTATGCAACTGGCCCCAGGTCTATTGTAGGTATGATGTAATCAATTTAAACTATGTGCAAATTATGATTTATTTTAATAGATGCATCACTCTTATTCACATGTCTAATATGTAAAAAACACTAAGTTTATTGTCACATCACATTCAGTTATGAATTACATGAATTATGTAAATAATAGCGTATGATCGTTTTAAAATGGTGAAATTTCTTTCACCTAAAAGTTCGCATCACTTGATATTGCAAAACTTGAATTTTTGAAAACGGGGACCGGAAACTGGGAAAACGTTTTTATCTGTAGGCTACATGAAAAAGTTTTTAGTACATCGTTGTCAAGTAAACGTGCCCTTAGTTACATGCACACTGTAAAAAAAATATTTTCAAGATTTGTTATCACAACATATTTTCTTTTGTCAAATCAACTTTAGAATAATTTATTTAGTTGAGATAACTTATTATTTTGAGTTTCTGATGATTAAATCAATCTCCTTCATTGTATTAACTCACTTTTTCCAGTTCAATGAACTTAAAATTTGAATTCAACCTAGGTTACTTACTTTTTTAAGTTTAAACCAACAATATTTTTTTACAGTGTAATCACAACATTTTTTTCTTTTGTCAAATCAACTCAAATAATTCAATTAGTTCAGATAAGATATAATTTTGAGTTTCTGATGATTAAATCAGTCTCCTTCATTGTATTAACTCACTTTTTCCAGTTCAATGAACTTAAAATTTTAATGCAACCAGGATAAATACTTAAGTTAAACCATTAATTTTTTTTTTACAGTGGGATAATAAAAATGATGATCTAAACTACAGTAGTCAACATTTGAATTGGATCAAAACCTTTCATCAAAGTTACATATGAATTTTGAATAATACCCGTTCTTGTCTTAAGAGTACATGAGAGAAATGTTAACTCTTCCAACTAAGAAATGAATTACTGATATCTGTAATTAAATTTGAATAGAAGCTGTTGTGTGTGAAAATACAATTACTTACATCAAGAACAATCATTTTAATTAGAGTCAGTTGAATTGTTGATATGGATGGAATGAATAAAATTCGAAACTTTTTTATATATACATATTTTAGCCGGTGTCTTCTCACCATGTTACTAAAACGGATGCTTTCAATCAATCTTTTACATGAGACAAAAACGCTGATCTCCGCGCCCCTGGAAGAGCGTGTGTCAGTACTGACCTCTGAAATATGCTCCAGTCCTCAGATGATAACAATCCCAGCAAACTCCAGTAGATAAAGAAAACACATGCAGCCATAAAAGATCTAACAAACCACAGTTTCATGTTGCGACCGCACCGCGCGTGGTAAATGTGTGAGAAGTCAACAGGTGAGTACTTCATAATGACAAGCAAACCATTGCAGATAAAACAAGCAGTAGCATTTTACACCCCCCCCCCCCCCCGCACAACCAGTTTTACAACACGCAGCGAATTTGTGGGAAATTGTACGTCACCTTTGAGCTGAAATAGTCGCATGAACAAATAGATTTCACATGACAATGTGAGGCAAATGAATCATCTGATGATAAAAAGATAAAAAACATTTGAGATTTCATAACTGAGATTCGGGTTCTCTCGGTTCCTGATGTGCTCTCTCTTCATGCGTTACCTTTTACCAAACAGCTTTCATACCGAACTACATTCGGTATGTTTTGTGGTAACCAGTTGCATTTATAAATAAAAATGCCGGTAACGCTTCCTTTTACAGTCCAGTTACCCATGTAAATACTATGTACTTATTTTAGTAACTACAATTACTGGGTAATAACAAGTACTAACCCTGAACCCACCCCTAAACCTACCCCTGTTCCATATTAGCCAGTACACTCTAAGAAATGCTGGGTTGTTTTAACCCAATTTTGGGTCAAATATGGACAAACCCAGCCATTGGGTTAAAAATGTAATTTTAAAATTTAACCCAATGGCTGGGTTTGTCCATATTTGACCCAAAATTGGGTTAAAACAACCCAGCATTTTTTAGAGTGTACTTTCTAGGTACGTATGCTGTAAGAACACTGTAAGTACTGTACTGTAAAATGAAGCGTTACCACAATGCCCAAGAGCGGAAAGACATACACAGTAAAGGCCTGTGTGCTTTGGTGTTAAACTGTCCTTAAGGCCAAGTGAATTAACATGTGACGTGCTAAATTTGCATCCAGAAAGGAAACACAGTGTGAATATTGAGTAGAGTCAGCCTGTGTTGCTCTCTATTTAAAAAGTTAAGAGACAAAAATAAATAGTCATTGGCTAGAAAAGCTCAAAGCTGGCCATTTTATCTGCTGATACACCCACTTCTGGGCTGTTAAATGCAGTGAAAATAAATCTTAATGCCAGTTCATATAATGACTGCCACGGTGGCTGTGTAAATGAGAAGTTAGCTTTTATAAACATTGAGAAACTCTGCACACATAAAGTATTAAAGACGCCGGACAATGAACAAATAATAGAGGGCTTAAATAGACAGATGGAATGATTAATGAAACACGAGCTGCGTAACTAAATCTAAAACCATGGGAACAAACGAATAACTCGGTTTACAGAAGACAACACGCAAAACAAAACATGACAATGTTGTGAACTAGACAGCTGGACAAGACACGAACATGGCATTGATATGCTATCACGTATTGTGTGTGATAGTGAGACCATGTAAAATTGTCCGTCTGTGCCATTCCATAGTTTTGATGATGTATTTCTATATTTACTATGATTATTAAAGTAGCCTACATACTAGCCTAGTCATAATTTGAATGTGTGCGGTAATAAAATAAGTCAGGCAGGTTTGAAACATTAGACTGGTGCTGTGCGATGTTGTGTTATTGTAGTTACTGAAACTAAAACAATAACCATGATCATTTTTGTAGCTTGAAATAAAATAAAGTTATTATAAAATATAACTTTTGTATAAATATAAAATTATTCAACCCCCAATACAAATCTGGCAAAATGTATAGATTTCAGCTGTTTGCAATGAACAAGTCAAACAAAAGTAAATAAAATAGCTCAACACAACAACTGTTTCAAGTGCTTTCCCTGAATTCAACTGAAAATGAAACTTTTAATGACTTCTGCAGTCTCGAAATGATTCAACCCCCACAACAACACAAATATGCAAAACAGGTGTAGTCTCAATCTCTGTCTCGCGTAAACGCTAACTCTAGATTCCAGGAGAATTTAACTAATTTGCGGCAACTACTTGATCACGAGTTGCTCAACAGGTAGATATATAGAAAAATTTGAAAGCGTGTGGCGTGTGAGCGTGTGAAACCAAACCAAATGCGGGTGTCTGTCGGCCAATGCGTGAGAGTTGATGTAAATAATCAAGGGCTTCATTAGTTGCACCAGGTGTGCTTAAGCTAGAACACATGACTAGGTTTGTTGAGGATCACGTTTGACAGCATGTTAAAAAGTCAAAAGAAAGTCAAAAAGTTAAAGGATTAGTTGACTTTTGAAAAAACTTTTGCTGATAATTTACTCACCCCCATGTCATCCAAGATGTCCATGTCTTTCTTTCTTCAGTCGAAAAGAAATTTAGGTTTTTGATGAAAACATTCCAGATTTTTCTCCATATAATGGACTTCAATGGGAACCGGATGGTTCAAGGTCCAAACGACAGTTAATAACAGTTTCAGATGCAGCTTCAAATGTCTTTAAACGATATCAGACGATGAATAAGGGTCTTATCATACGAAACTATCGGTTATTTCAAAGCTTATTCCAAAAATGTAACTTTTCTAAGGACAAATGCTAGCCTTGCTCTATTCTGTGAGGCGCGTTTGCAACGTCACGTAATACGTAATTACGTTCAAAAGGTCACGGGCGACGTAGCCGGAAGTACAGAATCAAAATCGTCCGACTTCGTTGTTTTACCTTTTAATTCCTTTTTTTATAAACGGCGTTTGAGTTTGTTTGCACGGTCAACCTATGCGTTCAACTTGTAAACACTCTGACTCTGTACTTACGGCTACGTCGCCCGTGACCTTTTGAACGTAATTACGTATTACGTGACGTTACAAACGCGCCTCACAGAATATAGCAAGGCTCGCATTTGTCCTTAGAAAAGTTACATTTTTGGAATAAGCTTTGAAATAACCGATCGTTTCGCATGATAAGACCCTTATTCATCGTCTGCTGTCGTTTAAAGACATTTGAAGCTGCATCTGAAACTGTTATTAACTGTCGCTTGGACCTCGACCGTCTGGTTCCCATTGAAGTCCATTATATGGAGAAAAATCCTGGAATGTTTTCATCAAAAACCTTTATTTCTTTTCGACTGATGAAAGAAAGACATGGACATCTTGGATGACATGGGGGTGAGTAAATTATCAGCAAAAGTTTTTTCAAAAGTGAACTAATCCTTTAAGAACTGACGGCTGAAGGTCTGGAATTCATAGCAGCTTTCTTTGGCCAAGGCCCGCCCATAAGGCCGTTTGACCGACATGTCAAACAACCAATTACAGTTAGTTTCGGGGCATGGAAATGTCCCCACAACAACAGACCGATGTGCAACAAGTCAGTTAGCAGTCAGCAGCAGTCACCGGAGTGCCTTATATATGGATCAATTGGTTAACAACGCTCCGCTTTATTAATTCGCCCACGAACTCGCGCTCGTGTCCATCTTATGCCCGCTTTGTCACACGGCCAGTTCAACCTCGTATAAATCAGGTTATGTGCGTAAATCACATGCCCGCTCACGAGTGCTCACTCTTAACAGACACACTGTCCCCGGCGCTGCTCGCGCGTCACAAAATGTTCACAAAGCGCTCCCCGTTCACAGTAACCGGGTCGTCTCATTCAAAACCGCCAGCTGTTTGACGTCAGCGAGCCGCCGCACATTGAATACTCAGGCTGCGATTGTAAGTTACGTCCCCGCCCCAGCGCGCTCACGCCTACTAAATAAACGCCTCATCTCCAGCACCACGCACTCGCTACATTCCCTTTAGCCGCAGGGGTCTCAAACTCAAATTAACTGGGGGCCGCTGGAGGTCAGGCCGGGCCGCATCAAGTATTCCAAAAAAAAAAAAAAAAAATGTATTTAAGTATTCCAAAAATGGAGCACAACTGATCCAATCTTCTCAATCTTTATTATTAATGTTTCTTCTGAACTGTTCCTCTGAATTTGAACATTCCTTTCTGTACATGATTGGTTCTTCATGAGCTGTCCTTCTGACAGTTGAAGTTAATTTTACAAACTTTCTTTGTCTTTTTCTTATCCACAAGTTTCCGAGGGGCGCTCCTGTAAAAAATAAAGTGGGTGAAACTTCCGGTGACGCGGCGGAAGTAGCATTCCAGTGGTGTTTTGTGTGTTAGTTAGCGAAGAGGCTAGCTGTTTTTCGGAGAATTATTTTACTATTTAAAGACGCAAATCTTTATGAGAGATGTCGTTACGGAGCTCAGGGACAACATGTGCTGCTCGCGGTTGTATGTATAACCGGACTAAACTAATTTAGTGGCTTAAACGGGATTGTTTTGAACATAAGCTGAAAACGAAATCAGAGTGATTCTGCCAGAGCCCGTCTCTGATCCTGCCAACGACTGTAGTTTCCATCACCTCCCAAAAGACGACGAATCTTCCTGTGTACATTTGTTTAAATTCTTAATGTTCTATAAACTCTATCAGCATGTGATTGGCTGTTCGCTACTGATGTTACACCTAAACTCAGGATCAAAGCCTGTGTTGACAGAATACCAAATGTGCCAGTTAATGTATTCAAGTAGCACATTCATTTATAATTTTGAATAAACTCCAAAGCACAATGACTAAGTGTGTATTTTTTATTTTAATTGTTTGTCAGCTCGCACAACTGTCTGTCACCATGCCTTGATGAGTATTGATTATTAATAATGTTATTATAATACTCCCAACCAACTACTGCGGAGGGTAAAGGTACTGTTATTTCACCTTTTTTAATTTCGTTGAGGTTGTGTTCCCACATCGTTAGCTAGTTTGGATCGCTATAACTTGAATGACTGTCAACTGTTGAATGAACGAGTGTCAAGCATGTCAAATCGCGCTTTGTTTACTTCCAACCGGAAGTCGCGCCCACTTTTGACGCAAGGCCTCATGGGGCGTAGGAAACTTGTGGATACACAACATCTTTGTGATGATAGTCATATTTGCTTTTTATTTTCTTTATACAACACTATTATATTGAATGGTTTTTTTTTTTGAAAGGCACATTTCCTTTTATTATACTTAGAAAACAATTATATTCTTTCTACACATGTGTCTCAGGCAAATTACTGACTTTGCACATATCAAAACAAACCTTCTTATCAACCGGTTGGATCAAAGTTCAGCTCACAAATTTTAAAATGAACTAGTTCAGTTCACATTTCATACTTCAAAAAATGAACTAGTTCATAGTTCTTTTTTTCCATATGTTGCTGCGAGCTTCTTTTTTTATTATTAGGCTATTATTATTGCCACAGCCCATATACAACCACAGATAACAATCATTTTATCGACGGGCAAAGTTTGCACAGACATGTAAGATTTTCCCATCCTCACCGACCTCATAAAACCCTTAAATGATCTTACGACGCCTCCTCGCTCCTCGGTTCACAGTTCACTGTAACGTTCATCAGGCAGTAATACAGTAGGCTACGTTCAGTTCACGTTCGCCAAAAATATGAACGAGTTCATGAACTATCGTTCATTGAACGCGTTCAGACACAACACATATTAAGCTCAAAATGATTATTCTCACATTGTTTTAGAGCAGGGGTATCCAACACGTCGCTCGCGAGCTATCAGTAGCTGTGGCCTGATTTGGTGGTGGTGGTAGCTCGCCTGTTCACATATCGCGCTCACATATTTTGCACGCTCAAGTAAATGTAGGCGCGCATCAAGCGCCCAGCGCGCTCATAATTGAAGCGACGCGCTCATTTTTTCCAGGCGCAGTATATTTGTACTTCGTGGTTGTCTATGGCAACTATTGACAACAAACCCACCCTAAGCTGTCACGAGACTATATATGGTAGCCCATAAGGGATAAAAATAATAATAATAAAAAAACGCGGCAAACGCAATGACGGGCCGCACTAACATTAAACTTTAATATCAAGTAGTAGGGGGCCACAAAATATCATCCCACGAGCCGCAAATGGCCCGCGTTTGAGAGTTTGAGACCTCTGCTTAGCCTTTAGCACATCTAGTGGATGCATAACGCAAACCCAGTCAAACGTTTGACTCTGCAGTATCTTATCCCAGATAGCAAACTGACATTGAATCAACGTGGAAATATGACATCGAAACAACGTTGATCTGACATTGTTTTGCTCATCGAATTAACGTTGAACCAACGTCAGTCGCGTCATTCTTTCAAAACTAACGGAAAATCAACTTGAAATCAATGCGTTGTTTCAACGTTATGAAAGCAAACCAATTTTCAATTTTCATTTAGCTTTGAAGAATGCCGCGTCTGACGTTGGTTCAACGTGAATTCGATGAGCAAAATCAACGTTGTTTCAATGTCATGAGAGACGTCGTTTCCACGTTGATTCAATGTCAGTTTGCTATCTGGGTATGCCCCTTATAATCCAGTGCGCCCTATATATGAATACTGAATCGGCCAGCTGCGATGTCAGCGTCTGTTTCATGTTTGCCCACAAACGCGGGTGACATCCCCTTCGCAGTTAGGTACTTCACTTGATCTTCCAGGGGACATACAACTACGTTTAGCTGATCTTGATAAATGCTCTTTGTCACTCATATAAACACAACAGTTTTTCTTCCGCAATCACACGTCTGCGCTTTGTTTCCCGGCGGACCGAAAATAAACGCGACACTGACGCCCCCTGGAAATCCGATAAAATTCACCCAATCAGATGACGACTTCGACATTCCTGAAGTGTTTCCAGTTAAGTGTACCATATGCATCAGACGTTTAGCCAACGTTCCGTGGGCAGTAGGGAGAGTTGGGTAGGATTAGAGGTGGGGTTGGGAATCAGTAGGCGGAGGTGGGATCTGGATCCAACTCCTCCCTCTGGATTTCGTGTTCTGCAGTGAGGGCCATCTCCAAAATTGTGTTGAATACATGCTGTTCATGAGTCTTCTTTAGTCTGTCTGCAATTTATTTTTTTTCCTGGCACACGTCACTTACACATCTGCTCTTACTGCAAAGTCTTGTGTTGTCTGTTTACATATTTGTGCCCATATGTACATTTTACGTAGGTGTTTTTGTTGAATACATTTTCTAAAATTGTATGTTTTTGTTGAGTTATTATTACACAATACTTTTTTCTGACCTTTTTGAATCTTGCACCTGACAAATAACCCAAATTACAAAAAAAGACAAAAACTAACACTAAACCTAATAAAAACTAAACTAAAACTAAGTATTTTCAAAAAAAAAAATAAAATAAATAAAAACTAAACTAGCAAACCCACTTTAAGAACTAACTAAAACTAAACTGAATTTGAAAACAAAAAGTCAAAACCAAATAAATACTAATGAAAAATGTAAAACTATAATAGGAGAGGATTTATGAATGCAGTGAAGTGTCACATGATACCAACAACATGAAGCATGTAGTACATCTGTATTACATTCATACAATATAGAACATACTTGTTTTAATGGTTCTGAAGTAATGACTTAATCGAAATAAGTACCTGCTCAAAAGAGTATACGACGCAGCCAAGAGTTAAATGCAGACAAGGATCCTTCAAATTACAACAACCTTTGGCAGTGCTTGATGCCTTGGCGTTAAGATATGCTGCCAACCGTCAAAAACAAAACACCTGAAGGACTTGACTATCTGGATTAGGTGTTATATAAAGGTTGAACCAAAACTCTGCAGGGCAACAAGTCTAGCAAGACTTAGTCTTGCTAGACTTATAGTCATTTTCCTAAATTGTAATTGACACTTTTCTGTAGTCAGTTAATTACTTACAGTGCCCTCCACAATTATTGGCACCCCTGTTTAAGATGTGGTTGAGGACTTTTAAAAATTCTCCCTTTTTTTTAAACAACATAGAACCCAAATGCAAAAAAAGAGAAAAATCCAACCTTTTATTTAAGTACATTACTTTGGTGGTAAAAAAAAATGTAAAAATGTAGAAAAATAAAAACTTCAAATCCTGTGTCCCACTATTATTGGCACCCCTAACAATTCCGCTGAAAAATGTAATTGATTTTTTAAAAAAATATATATTTTCTGTAGTTGCTAATGTTGGTCAGGATATCTAGGAACTTTTAATTAGTAATTCATGACTTCCTATTTCCCTGGGGTATAAATATGACATGACACAGAGGCCTAATTCTCTTACCCATTTGTCAACATGGCAAAGACAAGAGAACACACCATTCAAGTAAGGCAGATGTGTGATGACCTTTATAAGTCAGGCAATGGCTACAAGAAAATAGCCACTCACCTTATATTGCCCATATCTAAAGTTAGAGGAATCATTAAGAAGTTTAAAACAACAGGAACAGTGACAAACAAGGCTGGAAGAGGTCCCAAGTTTATCTTGCCACAACGCACTGTGAGGAGGATGCTAAGAAAAGTAAAAAAAAAGTCCTAAGCTCACTGTCACAGAATTGCATCAAATAGTGGCATCTTGGGGTCACAAAATCTCCAAAACAACCATCAGACGCTCTCTACATGCCAACAAGATGTTTGGGAGGCATGCTAGGAAAAAGCCTTTTCTCACTAACACTGACAAACGTAAACGTCTGGAGTTTGCCAAGCGGCACTGGGACTTCATCTGGGATCGTGTGCTTTGGTCGGATGAGACTAAGATTGAGCTTTTTGGCAACAAACACTCTAAGTGGATCTGGTGTAAAACAAAAGATGTGTATGCCGAAAAGTACCTCATGCCCACCGTGAAGTATGGTGGAGGATCTGTGATGCTGTGGGCCTGTTTCTCTTCCAAAGGCCCTGGGAACCTTGTTAGGGTGCATGGCATTATGAACGCTTTGAACTACCAGGACATTTTAAATAAAAACCTGATGGCCTCTGCCAGAAAGCTGAAGATGGGTCGTCATTGGGTCTTTCAGCAGGATAATGATCCAAAACGTGTGGCAAAATCTACACAAAAATGGTTCAGTCACAAACTCAAGGTCCTCCCATGGCCATCTCAGTCCCCAGACCTCAATCCAATCGAAAACCTGTGGGGTGAGCGAAAGAGGAGAGTGCACAAGAGAGGGCCCAGGATACTGGATGATCTAGAAAGATTTTGCAAAGAAGAATGGTCAAAGATCCCTCTCTCTGTGTTCTTCAATCTTGTGAAATGTTATAGGAGGAGATTAAGTGCTGTCTTGTTGGCAAAAGGGGGTTGTACAAAGTATTAACATCAGGGGTACCAATAATTGTGGGACACATGATTTGAAGTTTTTATTTTTTTAAATTTGTAAAAAAATTTTTACCACCAAAGTAATGTACTTAAATAAAAGGTTGGATTTTTCTCTTTTTTTGCATTTGGATTCTATGTTGTTTAAAAAAAAGGGAGAATTTTTAAAAGTCCTCGACCACATCTTAAACAGGGGTGCCAATAATTGTGGAGGGCACTGTATTTACTGCCTTGACGTCACGTCACTTTTTAAATTTTCTTATGAGGTTTTATAATTTAATAATTTATAAGGTCTGTGGTGAATATAATATTACTATATTTTGACGTTTTGTTCAACAACGTACACTGCACACACACACACACACACACACTATTATTAGAAACGTTTTCACAATAAACATAACCGCTTCAAAATTCACATTTTCACCATGAGTGTGTGTAGTAGAAGGGTTGTTTAACGCAGACTTAATTTACTCACTAATTGAAAAATGAGATTACAAACCCAGCTATAGTGTAGGAATGGGCTTTAGACTTGGGGACCAATCAGGTTGCAGCCTGTCCAGAGCATGAACCAATCAGAGGCAGTCAGGGGAGTCACCAGGTCAGAAATAAGGAATTTGTTATTTGTCAGTGCCATTTTGAAGCAATTTATTTAAAAACTACATGCATAACACACACATGCATGAGCTTAAGAACACGCGTAGGTGCCATAAAAATCACTCGTGATTACAATATAAAACTGAGAACCGGTAAAAACACCAGGCTCAAGCACAAATCAGTAAACGGACACATCATTTTTCGCCCATCACTGTTTCGTGCAATCCTGTCACATACGTTTGAATGACATTCAATCTTTCCAACATAAGAAATAACTCATCTAACATCTGTCTTTGATCCGCCCGAATTTGACTGAGTACCCTGTGAGTACTATTGACTTCATTTGACAACACTCTGGAATCCCTTTGCATCCAACGAACTAAATTGATCAACTTGACGAAACCCCCATTCCGCAACACCTCATTCTGATGAAAAGTCTTGAGGAGCTCTTTAAAACAGTTGGTTAAGGTGGTTTGGGGTCCGGCCGTCAGCTGGGGGACCGGCTGAGCCGAAGAATTGTTATTGCGTTGAACGCCATTGTCTAATTGTATCACGTCTCTGAGCATGTTTTGGAGTATGGCGGTGGTGTTGGCTTGAGGTGATTCATAAGCTTCACAAGCGGCAATCTCTCCATCGATCCATAGCTCGGCGCCCCTCGCATCGTAATCCTGTACACCTGTGAAACAATACAATATACATTTGAATCAAAATACAAATAAAATGCACGATGGGTGGAGATGTTGGATTATTAATACATAGCCTACTTTCTTGCTCCTCTGATAGTCTCAAACGACGTTTGACCCGAATCCCAGAGGTGTTGTCCGATTCCCTCTCCCGCTTTTCCCCAGATTTCCCGTTGGACTCGGGATCAAGATTTGGGGCTGTTGTAGCCACAGCTACACCTCCGTCACAGGCTTTGGACGTGCTGTTATCACCACTCAAAGGTAGCGATCCCTCGGTTATGAGGTCATTCGGGGCGGCTGCTTTTGCAGTTACACACAACCCTGGGACACCTGGTGGCGTAACAAGCTTACCTTGAGTTGTGTCCTCTTCAACGCCTGTTAGAACAGAAACATGCCTCGTTTAGCATGTAGCCTAATAAAAAGGGCTTAAAAGAAAATAAAGAACACAATTCGTCCAATAGCCCCTTTCACACACGTGATCCGATCGGCTAAAACGCATCTTAAAGGAGTAGTGCACTTTTGAAAAAACTTTTGCTGATAATTTACTCACCCCCGTGTCATCCAAGATGTCCATGTCTTTCTTTCCTCAGTCAAAAAGAAATTAAGGTTTTTGATGAAAACATTCCAGGATTTTTCTCCATATAATGGACTTCAATGGGAACCAAACGGTTCAGGTCCAAAATATAGTGTTAATAACAGTTTCAGTGCAGCTTCAAATGTCTTTAAACGACACCAGACGATGAATAAGGGTCTTATCATGCGAAACGATCGGGTTATATCAAAGCTTATTCCAAAAATGTAACTTTTCTAAGGACAAATGCTAGCCTTGCTCTATTCTGTGAGGCGCGTTTGTAACGTCACGTATTACGTAATTACGTTCAAAAGGTCACGGGCGACGTAGCCGGAAGTACAGAATCAAAATCGTCCGACATCGTTGTTTTACCTTTTAATTCCTTTTTTTGTAAACGGCGTTTGAGTTTGTTTGCACGTTCAACCTATGCGTTCAACTTGTAGACACTGACTCTGTACTTCTGGCTACGTCGCCCGTGACCTTTTGAACGTAATTACGTATTACGTGACGTTGCAAACGCGTCTCACAGAACAGAGCAAGGCTAGCATTTGTCCTTAGAAAAGTTACATTTTTGGAATAAGTTTTGAAATAACCGATCGTTTCGCATGATAAGACCCTTATTCATCGTCTGGTGTCGTTTAAAGACATTTGAAGCTGCATCTGAAACTGTTATTAACTGTCTTTTTGACCTTGAACTGTCTGGTTCCCATTGAAGTCCATTATATGGAGAAAAATCTGGAATGTTTTCATCAAAAACCTTAATTTCTTTTCGACTGAAGAAAGAATGACATGGACATCTTGGATGACATGGGGGTGAGTAAATTATCAGCAAAAGTTTTTTCAAAAGTGAACTAATCCTTTAATACCAGGTGTAAACAGGGCCTAAAGCACTTCCAATTTCCAAAGATAGTAATCACACAGTTTACCGGTATTTTGGGACCGATGTGCGATTGGTAATTTACCGGTAAACAGAAGAAACGCAGTTGCATGTGTGAGAAGCGCATTTGAGTTTTTCCCGGAAAAGTCATTCAGGTCATTTTACAGTAATTTACTGGGATTTCGATGTGAAAGGAGCTAATATTTGTTCCAGAAAGCTGTCGAACTCCAATTTTAACTTACGTTTAAACAAATGATTCATAGACTGTTGTTAACATTGGCAGTTGTTGCTTATTTGCAGGTCTATGCTAGTAAGACAAGGTTTTGGTCAGGCTATGGTAACAAGAATTGTTCTCCAATGTTTAAAAACGAATTGACCACTGTCAAAAATAAAACCTTGCTGTCTATGCAGCAGAAACGTCATTTTGAAGTTGGTGCTAAACCACTAGATAAAACTAGTCTGAATCTGATCTGAATTTGCCTGAGCGGGAATTTAAAAAAAGATGCCCTGGAGCCGTCAAAAGCCCACCGGATTATGCAAAATTGCGTCACAGACTTAAAAAATGGCATCACAGAAACAAACGGATTTCTGGATGCAAGAAACACAAAGAAAAAGTCATAAATTATTAATTTACAGATATCACCGACAGTGATGTTTAAAAGATGGTTAAAAATGAGCAAATTATTCTTCAAACCAATAACATTGAGCAGTTTAAGGAAGCAGGGCCGCCGTTCTGACAAAACGTATAACTAATTTAATGATCTTGTGTAGCTGATCACTGTCAGGACTCAGGAGAAAAACAAACACTAAGGCTACTATAGCACTGTTGTGTTGCCCTTCTTAAAGAGAAGATGCATTTTTTATGCACAACTTTCTTAATCACAAAACTGCTGTCATGAAACCTACAATGAGCCTCATGCAGCAATATCTACATTAATTTATTTAAATCACGATCATTATGTGAAATACTAGTATCTTACAAGAATAGATCTGGAAGCAAGTTAACAAGAAATGTCTTTGAAACAAATCGCACATGGAAAAAAAGCAGTAAATTATTAGTGCAAGGCACTGCATTTTCAGAGCTTGTATTTTAGGTGGCAGGAATTGGTGGCATTTAAGCAATTGATATTGCTTGTAAAGGATCACACATTTCATTAGTAGCCCTCAATCGGGTCATGGGGTCTATACAACCCCAATCGACTTTTACTTAATAAAAAAAAAGGTTCCCTTCATCTCAGTGGAATAAGATGTTGTGACTTTTATACGTTATCTATCAATACACAGACACACACACACACACACACACAAAAAACTGGGCTTGATTCAGTTGTTCTGAAGGTATGTAAAAAAAAAATGTCTGGGTCAATATGACCCCCACATTGAAATGAATGGGAAATGTGAAAAAACTAAATATATTTTCTTCATGTGTCAAAAAAAAAAAAAAAAAAAAAAAAAAAATCCGCCATAAATCTGAACATTTTTTACGCAGAAATGAAGAAATGCAATGTATCATAAAAAAATAATATTTCATATGCAAGCTAATGGTGTAGTTGAGGAATTGTGTGGTAAATGGATACAAAAGTACTTTATATCTTCAAAAACACAGCATTAATGAATAGATGAGAAGTAAACAACAACAAAAATATATATATATATATATATATATATATATATATATTAGGGCTGGGTAATAAATATCGATTTCTCGACATTAATCGATTCTCATTTTTGCAAACCGATATCGATTCTTAAATCTCAAGAATCGATTAGTCATCCTGTTTCATTTGAATGAATGAGACATTGTATTGCGGCTGCGCACATCCAACAAATCGCACTAATCTTTGTCCTGCTTTGTTACTATTGATATGAAACAAAATCTCAATTTTCAAATTACGTCCATTTTCTTTAGAAATTAAAAAACATAAATAGTGTTTTGGCGCTGTGGCGTGAGATCGCTCTGGAGAAGCAGCAGCGCTGATCTCTCTTCCGGGTTAATAATACCAGTCACAGCGCGAAATAAACATGAATGAGCATCTGAAAGTGTGTTAAAGATAGAGTACAACTTAGCGAAATCCGTATCATGTCACATTGATTCGCTCAATCTGCGTTTCAACCGTGGAAAGACGTCAATTAAACAGCTTGTAATCAATGTCATGTATCGTCATATTTACCTCAGAAAACCCACATCAACTCGTTAGTCCACACTCGTTAGTGTTCTTCAATATTTAATGCATATTTGAATAAATCGGGCAAGTTTTTATGACAGCCACCATTTAAATGTTTATATTTCATATAATCTTCTTATTATAAAAATAAATAAAAGTATAATTTAAGTGTTTGTATAGCTACAAAACAGTTTATTACCTTCATATTAGGTTAATGAAGCCTATACCCAGATAGCAAACTGACATTGAATCAACGTGGAAATATGACATCGAAACAACGTTGATCTGACATTGTTTTGCTCATCGAATTAACGTTGAACCAACGTCAGACGCGTCATTCTTTCAAAACTAACGGAAAATCAACTTGAAATCAACGCGTTGTTTCAACGTTATGAAAGCAAACCAATTTTCGATTTTCATTTAGCTTTGAAGAATGCCGCGTCTGATGTTGGTTCAACGTTAATTCGATGAGCAAAATCAACGTTGTTTCAATGTCATGAGAGACGTCGTTTCCACGTTGATTCAATGTCAGTTTGCTATCTGGGTAGGCTACAACTAGACTATATACTGTATATAGACCATAGTTTACAGCATTTAAGAGATTTGATTCCCTTGAGAAAAATTGCCATTTATTGTAACTGATATCCAAAATAATCGATATTGAATCGAATCGAAATCGAATCGAATTGCAAGCTTGTGAATCGAAATCGAATCGAATTGTGAAATTTGTCTCAATACCCAGCCCTAATATATTATTTGTATGATTAAAAATGTATATTTTTTGTACACTCAATCAATTGTTGGGGTCGTATAGACCCCGAAGCCCAGAAGTGTAAACAGGAAACAAAGACCATTTGAAGGTTAAAAATTGTAATCTATATTCAGATTCCAGAGTTTCATTTACAAAATATTCAGTCCTTTTATAAATAGCACCTGAAGGAGAAGTCTCCGGCCCCCAGGTGTTTCCACAACATATAATCCGGCCCCCAGGTGTGTATCTTTACCCTCCTCCCGGTTTTAGACCCCCGCACGCCAACACCCACCCACCCCCCACAAGATAAAGCACATTCGCCAGGCATTAGGTGTTGAAGGACCATTGACTTAAAAGAGCCAGAGATTCTTCACCAGACAACTCGTTACCTGGCACAGCGTGAATGGTCCTGTATGATGTCGTAAACATTGGTCTATCTATTTCTCGTGTGTGTGTTAATCAAGTCAAGTCAAGTCACCTTTTTTCATATAGGCTAGCGGTTTTTACAATACAGATTGTATCAAAGCAGCTTTACAGTGATAACATGAAAATTATACAACACAGATCAATAATATTGTTGAATATTAAACGTCCCCAACTAAGCAAGCCAAAAGCCAAGGCAACAGTGGAGAGGAACCAAAACTCCATCAGGGACAGAATGGAGAAAAAAAACAGACTCAGTCGGGGGCCCAACCCAGGAACAGTGTGTGATTCGGGTCACATTCGGTGACATGTGATAATATTAGATCTAGAGTATGATTACGAAAATGAGTAGGTCCTGACATGTGTTGTATAACACAAATTGAGTCTATAATGCCAATCCCAATGCATCTTTTTCATTATCTACATGTATATTAAAGTCACCAACTATTAGTACTTTATCTGCAGCCAGAAATAACTCTAAAGTCTGCAAAGTCTTTGATAAAATCTTTAAATTGCCCTGGTGGCCTCTATACAGGAGCCAGCAGAATTCTCAAACATGATTACACTATATATTTTTACACTAAGCACCAATACTTCAAAAGAAGTATATTTAAAACTATATTTCTGAGTGGTTTTGAGGATATTACTACAAATTACATTAACACCTCCCACTTTGCCTTTCAGACGAGGTTCATGTTTATAACTGTAATCTTGCGGGGTGGACTCAGCATTTGATGGCCCTCCTTTTGGATATTTCTCATCCATGTTTTAGATATTAAGAACATCGCTTTGGCACTCAGTTGGCACACCTTTAGGCACACCTTAGGTGTACATTGGCACACCTTAGGTGTACAATGTCAAAACACCATTACTTAATACGGTATGACAAGCCATTTTTTCTTTTATTCATTCCCAGGAAATGAATTCTTGATATCACAAATTACATTTCTACTAGCTAGTAACAATGGCAATTTCTTATACCAATAATTAAATATGAACTAGTCAAAACTATAATTTTCTGATATCAGAAATAAAAAATATAACATGTTGACATCCATTTAGATTTTAAGAATTAGCATTTCAAAGAGCGAAAACTGAATTCTTGATTTCAGGAATTGATATGTTTACTATTTACAAGACATAGAAATTATGTATGCATTGTGTTTCTGAAATTTTAGCTAATAAGAAATAAAATCTTGATTTCAACAACTGCATTTAAATTGCAGCTTATGATGATATTTCACTACTGAAAATTGCTGAGATCAAGTAGTTTTTACTAGTTGAAATTTAATTATTAACATCAAGAACTTTTCTGCTAGTGACATAAAAAATCACATTTTTACTAGTATAAATGTAATTCCTGATATCAAGAATTAGCATTTTAACTAGTGAAAATGTAATTGTTGACATCGAGAACATATAATTTTCTTTGGAATCGATCATTGTAACGAATAGGCATTTAGTTATCAGTCGAAATTAGGTTTGTTATACTTTATTTTTATGCGTCGGATTTTTTATTTATTTATTTTTAACCTTTTTAACTTTTAATTTTTTTTAACTTAGGCCTATCTCTTAAGTGCTTTAATATGAAATTGGTGTGGAATAAACAAAGAATGTTTGTATGTTTGATGTAGTACGCTTCAAACATGAGCTATTTTTTTTTATTTATTTTAACATCCTGAAACCACTGTTTAACTTTAAAGCATTTTTATAAGAGTCTTTGCTTTTCACTGCCTCATTTGGAAAGCTACTTTTCTTGACCAAACGCTTTTTCGCTTCTTTTTTAACAACAACAAAACACCTCAATCTTAACAACATGTTTTCCCACGCCTTTCACGTCGTAAACGTCCACACGCGGAGAATGAGACAGAGAGATGAGCTAACTTGCGAGAAAAGAAAACGTTTAACGTTAGGTCTAACGTTAAATAAGTAACTTACCAATAGTTGCGCTGTCCTCGCCGATTAGAAGCCGAGCTCCGTCAACTGGGGAATGAGAGTAAAACATCTATTTAGAATATCGTGTAAACCCGATTCTTTTGGAAACTGCTGTCGAATTTCAAGTTATTTCATTAAATGCTCCATTAAATTGACCAAGCCTATGTCTAATTTATATTTAAAAATAAATTATACATACCATTAAGGTTGGCCGCCATTTTAGTGATGGTAAGGTACACGAGTCACTGTAGAGCGATGAGTCGGTGTGTTCAGGCGAGGTAAAAATGCGTCGAGTTTGTGCTGCTCTTCTCGCGCAACATGTTTAAAAACATCCGCCAAAGTGGGGGGGTTTCCGTGTGGGATTTGCGGGGGTTTCCCACTGTGCCAACCGCAGAGCGCAGAGGAGGAAGTCTAATATGACTAATAGCAGAGAAAGTCTAATAGTCTAATAAATATGACCAAAAATCGAGAACTCCCACTCACGTTCAACTTCCCTTTTTTACCTTTTTTTTGGGGGGTACTTTCCTGCAAGGCCGTAACCAGGGTCTGAAAATTAGTGAGGTCCGAGGTGTTGTGTAAAGAATTGTGCTATAATGGTTAGGCTATTGGACCCACATGGACATGGAATTTGACATATATATATATATATATATATATATATATATAGCCTATATATACATACACGGGTTATTTATTTTTTTTAAATTATGTGTGGGGCAGTCTCTCAAGGGGGGTCCGGGGATGCATAGCCTACCCCCGGGATTTTTTTTGAAAAATAAACCATTAAATGGCACTTTTTGGAGAGTTTCTTGCAAAGAAACATAGAATAAAAGTAGGTCTTGCAAAGTCGTATAAAGCTGTAATTCACACAAATATACTGGCTCAATAGATTGCTAGTTGAGAAACACTGCTTTAATTATTGTAGTGAAACACTAAAATAACACAATAACACATAAACAAACCTATTTATGATGACTTTGTGAAACAGAGCAGTCTTCCAGCTGACCAATAAGGTTATTTGGCAATTTCATTCTGTAACATACAGATCTCTATTATGCTATTGTTTTTGATAGTGTTATAGCCTACATTTCTTACAGATAATCATGATGATCATTGCGTTTTTCTTACCCAATGTGGTTGCTTTATGCAATTGCACTTTGTCTATAAGCTTTTATTTTTTTTTTTTTACGCGACAGTAATGTTGCCAGATATTGCTTCTAAAACAAGCAAAAAAAATAAATAATTATAATAATAATCCGAAATTAGTTCAAAGCTTTGAACTAGTTTTGGAAATAAGATGAATATCACTAACCCTAACATGCAACTTTCCACTTTAACTTGTTTAATAACTTAATAAAAGTGTCACATTAAATCAGAAAAACAGGTCCAGGATATTACTGCACCTTTCCATTAGGTGGATCTGGCAACACGGAGGCTGCACTCGCGAGTCGCGCGCCCTCATTCACAACGCGCTCTCGAGCCCCGTTCACTGCGCTAGCTTCTCGCAGCAACGAATTGCGAACACTCATATGAGGTGGTTTAAACACGGCTAATTAATCATTCAGAGAGCATTACATTTTATTTTTGAATGTAAAAAAATTACCGAGGTCCGGACCTCGGTGACCTCATAGCTGGCTACGGCCCTGCTTTCCTGTTATGAGTTCCTTCAGTATTTGTTCTCCCTTGTCATGTGAACAGTGATTTCAATAAGATTTATATTGTACATTTTGAGAATGTCATATGTTTTTTCTTTGTTAGATTTATTTATTGTGTATAAGTGTCTTTATTTTTTTTTATTGCAAATGAAAACAACAGTATAGGCTACAATACAAAGCATACAACATTAATATTAGCCTACCCTTGCCAGGGGGTATCACATACATTCAAACAAATTGTAAGTAATACAAATATTTCTCGTTTTCATAGCCTTTTTGTTCAAAGAACCACTAATTAATGTTATATATGATAACATATCACAATAAAAATGTTTAAAGGCCGGTTTTTGTTTTATATATTTGCATTTGTGGATATAGAATTTAGCTTGCACAATTAGTACATTTATAATAAAAAACATATCTTCTTTACTTTATTGTTTTCTAAAAAAACAAAACACAACATTTTCCCACTTCAATGTAAAGTCATAAGTGTCTTTATTGTTTATAAGAGTGCCGAAGTGATGACGTCACTTTGTAGGACAACCCGGAAGTTAGCGGCGCATGGGTTCCCTCGGTCGAAAAGCAATGCATTTTCCCCGTAGACTTTTGGAACATCGCAAAAAAAAAAAATAAGATCTGTGTTTAACAAAGGGTTGCGACCCTTACACGTTTTGTCTAGCAAGATCTTTACAAGTTAATCCAAAATTTTGAAGCCTATATAAAGATTTTAAAAAACACAATCAGACACAATAAAGTTTAAAAAACCACAAGCAGGTTATAACTGTGTGTTCTATGTCATAGATCAAAACGTGAAAATTTTTAGAGGCTTTGTTCACCAGAGACCTTATTTCAGGCGATTTAGCAAAAACCCATTCAAAAATCCCATAGGCTTTAGAGCGAGGGAACCGTAATGCTAAAATGCTAACTCACTTCCGCGTTTTGGCCTACAGAGTGACGTCGTAACATCGGCACTCTATTGTAATAAGAAAAAGTTAAATAATAAAAAAAAAACATTAAACTTCCGGGTTCTGAACTGTTGCAGTTCCAATCTGGTTCCATATGAGGGCGCTCACAGGCGGAGTGCAGAATGAATGGAGGTCTAAAGGCCATTGCACACTGAGTACGAAATTTTCATCAAATGTTATACTTATCAGAAAATGTGTAAAAGAAATGTCAAGAACTTGACATCAAACTCTGTGATTTTGAAAATTCAATAAAAAAAAGTTTTCGAAATTTTCGTATGTGTTTTTTCGTGTTTGTCAGCCTAAAAATTCACGCACAGAAACTTTGCACACTGAGTCCGATGCGTATTAAACCTTTGCGGGAAAAAACGCAAAAATCCAAAATGAATTCGTCAAGCAGTGAGGATGATTTTATTGCCTTCGCCTCCAGGGGCACTAACACCAACAGAACAATGCTACTCTGTGGGTGAACGTGAGGCGCTTGCCTGTGTTTGGGCTTCGGAGAGGTGGCATCTTTACCTCTACGGAAGACTTTCACCCTCACTGACCATCAGGCCCTGACTACATTACTGACGGCATCTGGATGCGGTCATAAACCCCTGCGCCTGCGCAGATGGGGAAAAAGGCTGAGGCAATATGGCTACAAACTGAAATTTACCCCTGGAAGGCACAATGTAGCCGCCGACTTACTCTCTCGTTCCGTCGATGCTCCCACACCCATGGTCTCCCTGACGAGGACACAGAGAACGAACTAATTCATATGCTTCACACGCCATTGCAGTCAGCCGTATCATTGGAGGAGTTGCGGTATGAGTCAGAGTGTGACCCCACACTGTCCTCGCTACGCACATACATTCGCTCTGGATGGCCAGCAAGGGTTTGTGATGAGCTCATGCCATTTAAAAGGGTGCGCGATGAACTGTCATGTTGGGGTGATGTCTGTGTCTCCAGGGGCTTGTGCACCGTAGTGCCCGGTAGCCTGCGGGCCCGCGTCCGCACAGCATACTACAATCCACTTCCTATTAGCCCCATTGTGTATCATCTTGGTTGCAGTTCTGTTAGAATTCCACTGGAGGTGATCGCGGGCAAGAGCAGAATGAATGGGAGTCTATGGAGCTAAACGGCTAAATGTGTCTCTTTCTCCTGCTTGTCGTTGAATCAACATAGATTTTATTGTTGATTCCGCAAGTTCAATATTGATTATAGGCCAAAAGTCAAATGAACGAGTATGTCCTTTTGATTTCTTACAGGTTAGGCTGTTGTTGGCCGGAACACGCTAGCATTCTGCTATTGTGTGACATCATCACATTTTTGAACGGATTTTTAGAACAGAGAAGTGAACTTAAAGGGTTAGTTCACCTAAAAATGAAAATTAAGTCATTAATTACTCACCCCCATGCTGTACCAACCCCATAAGACCTTCGTTCGTCTTCGGAACACAAATGAAGATATTTTTGATTAAATTTGAGAGCTGTATAACTACCACATTGGCTCCTAAAGGACTGCCTCTTGACGGCCCAGAAAGTCAATGAAGAAAATGTTTAAATATCCCAAGTGACTACCGTGGCTCAACTATATGTTTATCAAGCGACGCGAATACTTTTTGTGCAAAAAAACAAACAAAAATAACGAGTTTATTCGACTATTTCTTTTCTTCCTTGTAGGCCAGAACGAGACTTCCTTATAGATTTCCACGACGCATGCGCGAGAACTGCGATCTGCTTACACCAGCTTACACTACTTCAGATCGCAATTCTCGCGCATGCGTCGTGGAAATCTAAGGAAGTCTCGTTCTGGCCTACAAGGAAGAAAAGAAATAGTCGAATAAACTCGTTATTTTTGTTTGTTTTTTTGCACAAAAAGTATTCGCGTCGCTTGATAAACATATAGTTGAGCCACGGTAGTCACTTGGGATATTTAAACATTTTCTTCATTGACTTTCTGGGCCGTCAAGAGGCAGTCCCTTAGGAGCCAATGTGGTAGTTATACAGCTCTCAAATTTAATCAAAAATATCTTCATTTGTGTTCCGAAGACGAACGAAGGTCTTATGGGGTTGGTACAGCATGGGGGTGAGTAATTAATGACTTAATTTTCATTTTTGGGTGAACTAACCCTTTAAAAATGCAATTTTCATCTGAGTGTATTATCTTATCCCTCCCTTTTGAATGCAACTTTCAAATTACTTGACAAAAAATTACATTCTAAGAAAAGTGGATTTCTGGGGGTGAAACCCTATTGACTCCCATTCATTCTGCACTCGACCGCGAGCGCCCCCGCATGGACAGAGACGCGTTATTGCAGCCAGTCCAGAAACTGGAAGTAACCAGCCAGTGCCAATTCTCTTCAGACATTCTCTGACCCTACCCTAATCATTTGGCGCTTTTCCACTGCATAGTACGGTACGGTTCGGTACGTCTCACTTGTGGTGCTTTTCCACTGCATGGTACGGTACAGTACGGTTCGCTTCGGGACGCTTTAAATGGTACCTGGTCTGTTGAGGTTCCAAGCGTACCGTACCGGTACTAAAATGTGACGTGAAACACTGCAGATCACTGATTGGTCAGACAGAATCGTCACTACCAGCGTCACTACTAGCGTCATTGGATTTGCGACACGAGACACGAGACACTTTTTTAGCAGTATTTTTGTTTTGCTGCCATCAGCCTCATTTTAAACACATTTTTCCGTCTACCAGTTAAAAACAACCACATACCGAGAATCAGGAACACCATCCCCTCGATAGTCTCCATTGTTCCTGTGTTGTGGGTTTGAAAATGTGGCGCTTTTAAGATGATGTCATGGCAGTAGAGGCGCGCGCAAATAACGATCAGTCCCACACACTTTGAAGGGGTACTACTGCGGTGGAAACGAAAAGCGATCCGAACTGTTCCGCGCCGAGTCGAAGCGTACTGAGCCGAACCGTACCGTACTATGCAGCGGAAAAGCGCCTATAGACAAAACCATTCATCAGAAAACACGTGTGTGTGTGTGTGTATTTTAATAATATAATATTATATATATATATATAGCCTAATACAATAATATTTAATACAATTATATATAATATTATAATTTTTATATTATGAAAAATATTATATACATCAGGTTACCATTTTAAACTAACAACGTTAGTGAAGGGTTGGTCATGTAAGCCATCGCAATTAACATTTTATCTTCCAATAAACATTTACTAGACCTGGCTACATAACATATAACTACACACTAGATTCACGAGAGGTCGGCTAATGTGTGTATAAGTAAAAAATACAGTAATTTCATTCATTTATCCGCGAGCGTACTTCGGAAGCACTGAAAATGAATGGGGTTCAATGCTGGAACTATCAGTGGTTGGAACTAATGGGCGGCTCCACGACATGCGTTACTTCCACATTCTTGAGTTACAATGGCGGTCTATGAGTGTCGGAACTCTCTCAATATATGGCTCTGGCCAACCGCACAGTGGGGGCTTTTGTCAAAAGCGCTGAACACTAAATTACTTTTAATAATGATTTATTGCGACAGTCTATCAAGTTTGGTTCAGAAAACCCATCAACAATGAAAACCTTTTTTTTATGCTTGTTAATTTTATGCTCATTAAGCAATGCTCCCTGGCACTCCTGTTACTGTTGGCCCTATACGAAGGCCCCCAAACCTCTTATCATTTTGCATGTTTCCCACATGATTGTTTTTCTCTCTGTACTGTCTGGGGGCAAGAAAATCTTGTATATTTTAAAGTTAAATGCATCAATATGGTGCACTTTAAGAGTTCAAAATTGAGATCATCACATCCAATGTTCAAATGGAACAGTAAAAAGTTGTTGTATTGTACCTGGACTCAAACTCTGATAAAATCTCTGATAGCACAACTAGCCTACAGTACATGTCGGAGATGTCTATTTGACGTCTGCATGCATATTTGCTCATCTGCAACACATCTTGGACATTTCCTGTTAGATGCCAGACATTTAGAAGATGTCTTTAAGATGTTTAAGATTTAGAAAATATGTCTAACTGCCTTTTCTTTGACGTTTATCAGATGCTTTTACACAGCAGATGCTTTTCAGATGAACAGATCTTACAGGCATACATGTTTCATGTTTCAGGAAGTCAAACAAGAATATATAATAATAATAATTTATATTGTTATCCCAAAGACAGTAGCTTGCACTGTAAAATAAATGTCAATTTAAAAAATAATATTTCACAAGCCTATATTATAGGCTATTGACTTTATATTACAATATGTTTTACTTAATTTGTTCACTTGCATTATTTGGCAATGCTTTTAGTGTCCGAATGCAAAGTTTCACATGGGAACGCTGACATTTTGCGAGAGAATGCAAAAGCATTGACTTATTATTTATACACCGCTGTGTCTTCAGCTGTTATGTAAGAAAGTTTCAGAATATATTCATTTTACAATGAAACTGTGACAGGATTTGACACCTCAGAGTGAGAAGGGTTTGAATATTCATGCCATCAAAACTTTCACAGGGATTAAAAAGGGTGTGTGTGTGGGGGACGGGGCCCTTGAAGATAACTGGCCCCGGGGGTTTTACAAGCGCTGAAATCTGCTCCGCTAAATCAGCCCGAAAATTCAGCATTAATTGGAAAATAATTAAAAAAAATAAATAAATACTTTTTTTAATTTAATTTTGGTAATGTTTGTTCTATTTTTAATGAAATTTTTAGGGATTTTTATTTCATTTATCTCTAAATGACAAGATTTTATCAATAAATAGGCTAATTTAAGCACATTCTTTCAATTTAGGGTTAGGATATTTTTTTTTTTTTTTTTTTTTGCATGACCTTTTAACTCAGCTCAAAATATCTTACATTGGGTGTCTTTGCCGACGTCCTGTGGGGGAAAAATAATATAACATGATATTTCACGACTCTTGCCACTAAATGGCCTTATAGCTGTATATGGAGCAAATGAGCTGTTCCACAGGGTCCTAAAGTCAGTTCATTCAGACACACATGTAGACATTATAAAACAAGTATTTGGTAAAAAGCATTTTAGTTTGAAGTAGATTGAATTTTGAGCATTTTTATGTTATGTGTACTGAAACATTCCTCGCATTCCATTCATTCCTGTGGGGGTCAAATTGACCCGTTAGGGAAGGATTTGTTACTTTTCTAAAGTTCAACAACAAAACTCTTTGAATCCATTCAATGTGTTTGTGTATTCATGCTTCAATTGCAACAAAAGTCATTGGGTCTTGTTTTTGGGTCTAGAAATCAAATATTACAAAATGATATGGGGGTGGGGATTGAGAGGTGTACTTTGAAGTACTTTGGGTTCGGATCAGATTCCGAATTCGGATACCTCTCCTCGGACAATATGCTTAGGCCCTACTCTTTTACTGATTAATTTATAAATGTGAACCCTTGAATGTTCCTTTGTCTCACACTCACATCGTGAATCCCGTATTTTCAATAAAAAAAAAATACTGTTGGTTGTACATTTATTTAGTTTCTTACTGTATGGTTATTGTAGTTCTGCACTAATGTGAGAATGAATTTGCTCACTTGCATAAAAACAGATTCAGTATTCCTCAAAAGAAAAAAGAAAACCTGCAATACATTTACATGCTTGACATTTGCCAAAAATATAACCTTTTTTGATATTTAAAAGCAAACAAGCCCAGCCCAACGTAACAAATTACTTTCCATAAAAAGTAACACAATTACATATACTTTCTTAGTGAGTCCTCCTGGGGTTATCTATTTTATTTTCTAATGCTTGAACAAGCCAAGACAAGTCAAGACACGGCTGAGCAGGGATGTTTTCTTTCACAATACTACTGCTGCATGTTTTTTTATGTTCCTGCGAGTGATCGATTAAAAAAACACACACCTATGTGAAAACGCCTTTAATAAATCAAACATAAAGAAATAATCTAAAACAAAACCTATTTCTCTACCTGAAACTACCACTACCGAACCCTCAGAAGAGCGTCTCACACACGCAATATTGTAATGCACTGCTTTCAAAGTAACTTTCCCCAATACTGTGTAAAAGAGAACAATCTCAGTAACAACAGCAAATGCTATATATATACATACATTCGAGTAAATATGAACAAACAAGTTATATGCCATTTTCACGACTCTATATAATAGATTTGAATGGTTATGAAGCATTAATTCATATCAACACCAAAAGAAAAACCAGAATGCTAATGCAGACAATTTACATTTCCCAGTCATGCACTAAAATATAAAATATGAGGGGATGTACAAGTCTCACGACCACAGCTGAACAGTAGCCTACTTGTGTCTTGTTTTAAACAGTGATTGTGTGTGTGGTGGATAAAGTCAGGGTATCAAGCTGAACTTTTCACACACACATTATTACTTTGACACACAGCTGGGGTGTCTGTGACCCAAAAGTATGTCAGTCTTTAACAGAACACGAGTGCTAAAGATGTTACCTCAGGGGCAAGTGCAGTGTGACAAGCCCATATTCTGCAAACTGTGTGTGTGTGTGTTTAGACTAAAGAGAGTAAAGTTTGAGCTGTTCCTCCAAGTCTCCCTCCGTCATCTCTCCGAATGTGTCCTGGTTTTCTCGGAGGAGTTTGAAGATGGCAGCCAGCTGCTCCTGCTGAACCCTACGACACAAACACAACAGCATAAACAACAATCACACACACAGCGCTGTCTGCAGCCTTCTTCACTCACGGCTCAAAAAGGGCTTAATATCGCTTGTAGTCAATAATTTCATTCCTTAAAATTCACCAAAATTACATATTTTTCCCCTTCATGTTTCAAACTATCTTGAGTGTAATTCGACACCCTTGCCTCATTTAGTATACGCGGTGCTATGAATATGCAAATGAGCCCCGCTCAGAGATCCACGATCACACGTTGATCTGATTGGTTAGGTAGTTTGACACGTCAGAAACGTCGACTTATGAATTTGCACATAGTTTGTTTTAAAGCATATGAAAAACACCATATAAACAACGTTAAAAAAACATGATTTTCTCAACAGGGGGATTTTAACTAAATTAAATTAATTTGAAAAATATATTTGAAACATTTACTTTTGTTTTGGTGTATCAGATGAAATGACGCCACAACAGACATTAATCAAATTTGGCGCTTTATTGTAATTGATATTACAAAAGCCATAGGATGAATCGCACGAAACCCTGTCAAAGTCACATTTCACAGCAAAACCTAAATTATATTCTCATTACGATAATGCAGAAAAAAAAAACATTGCAAAAGCATGCAAAAAAAAAAAGTTTTTTTTTTTTTTTTTTTAGAGAAGAAAAAAAAAAGTCAAATCTCTTCTGATTCTGGGGTTAAATGTCTCCTGGACAATAACATGATTTTGAGATTCACCTATTTATTTAACTTTACCAACAACAGAAAAATCTATATGGCTTCTGCATTTCATTATACAGATGTGTGACTCTGCAGTGTGAGCACATTTCCCATCAGCCTGTGACGGTCAAAGCGGTGTGTGTGTGTGTGTCCACAAGGGGGCGTGATGGTATTTCAGAAGAGCAGGAACATACAATATTCATATGTTAATGTTCTTTGGTGTTTTGCTTTAATAAGCTTGCTATTCACAGGCAGAAATGCAAAGTAGCCTGTACAGAAAACAGAAGAAAAACCCAGTTTCCATCATCCAACATATTTCAGAGACAGTCAAACGAAGAAGTCGCTTCACAAAGGTCCTTGAGATTGATTTTTAGGGGACACACTTTTCCACACGATTTCTGCTCACTCAGGAACTCTGAAAAATAAAAAAACACAAGAATATTCAGTCTCATAAACCAGTAAACATGAACTTCTTGAGACACACACACACACTCCTTTCACATACGCATGAATTCAAACCTCAGAGAAACAAGACTATAGGCCAAAACCAGTCACTTACATGTACAGAACCCTAAAGGGCGCTTCATATCTAGACCTTTTTAGAGGTTACATCATGGGATCATTTTACAGATTTATAGTTAAAATCAATTTATTTTGAATTCATTCGAAATTTTAGGATTTAAACAGCTCCTTAACATACTTCCTCACTAGAAAACGTTTAAGTAAAGACATTTCACCTTATATAGAACTGTTTTGTCATGAAGAGTTCTTTAGAATTGAGTCGAGAACCATAGAGTTCTATATAGAACCCCACTGAAATGTTTTTTTTTTTTTTCAAAGCATGTGTACTAGCAACTCTAAATTAAAGGGATACTCCACTTTTTTTGAAAATAGGCTCATTTTACAACTCCCCCAGAGTTAAAAATAGTAGGAAAAAAATATACTATGGAAGTCAATGAGACCAGAAACTGTCTGGTTACTGATATTCTTCTAAATATCGGAAAATGGGCTGAATGGATTCGAAAACGGTAAAACTCGACTGTTTAACTCTGGAGGAGTTGTAAAATGAGCCTATTTCCAAAAAAAGTGGAGTATCCCTTTAAATCGCAAGACACTTCACGTCAATAGAGTAACTAATGGATTTCACCATACTGATTGATCACAGTAAAACAAATGTTCTGCATTACATTCCATTTAAATATGCAAATGAAGCATTATCTATTTTTTTACATGCACTAAAAATGTCCAATAATGTAAATATTGCATAAAATTAGCTTCTTTCATTTTGTTGATACATTAGAGTTTTTTACAGAGGGGTTTGGGGGATTTCTCTTTTTATCACGCCATAAATCAGAGAATGGTCATCAGTCAGAATTGAGGAAAAATTGAAAAATAAAATGTTACAATACATGAAAATGATATGAACAAACACCTCTGTAAAAACCATGTAAACAAGAATAAAAGTGAGATTTCTGGCTCAGTGAAGGAGAAAAGAAAAACCATTTTAATAAAACGGTATTTAAAGACATGCATTGTAATCAATATCTACATACGCAGAAAATGTAGCAAAAAAAAGCCCAAAGACACAAAATTGACCAGTGCCTGAAAAAAAACAACAGTGTCTCTCCTTGAAATGTCTGTAATTTCTTTCTAATCATATTAAAGGTACACTATGCAACCTTTTTGTTGAAAATTAACAATTTAAATAGTCAATACATCATCAATGCTTCTTCCAAAACATGTTTTGAATGTACTATATTTAAGTTCGAAAATGTTTTTTTTTTCTTTAATTTTATGGTACTAAATTATATTTACACTGTATTTATAATCCATTTATTAACTTTTTGAGCATAGACTTGAGTATAGAATTTAATTTCCAACTTGATAAACGAATGCTTTCTAAGACGACACTTGGCAGATTATTGCTAAAGTGAAAAACGTTTTAAAAAGTTTACAAAAAAATAATGCACAGAAATACTATTTTCCAAAAAAAACACGTTTTACTCTAAAACTGCAAGAAAAACAAATCTATAAAGATAAACGAGCTATGTCCCAAATTTGAGTTTGATATCTCAATAAATGAGCTTTCAGGCAGACTTCGTTTGGCCGCAGTACCACACGTCTCCACTAGGTGAAATTCGTCTCCCATTAATTTCCAACGTCTTATTTCGACCGCGAGGAGCACAAGTGTGACTATTTTTTTTTCAGGACTATTTACCCTTTTCGTATCATGTCCATGATTATTTGTGTGTTCACATAGCAAGCGCCAAAACCTTTACTAATAATCGTACCATTCCAATGAAGTAAAAAATAAAATAAAAAATAAAACATTTCGGTAAAAAAAAAAAAAAAGACCACCAGAGGGTTAAACTTCAGCTAGTCAGCTTGAGATCCTTTCCGGTTATATCTCCTAAGACACATGCCTTTGGTGTGAGAGACCCGGGTTCGAATCCACTGTGAGACACCAATGTGTCCATGAGCAAGACACTTAACCCCTAGTTGCTCCAGAGGTGTGCGACCTCTGACGTATATAGCAATTGTAAGTCGCTTTGGATAAAAGCGTCAGCTAAATGAATAAATGTAAATGTAAGCCTGGAGGTGAATGTTTTATGAACAGTGGATTATTCATATTCATCCGTGCAGTCACACACAGCCAAAGCACATCCATAACAATGTTCTTCCACAAAATGCATGCAGTGTTGTTGACCTCTAGGGGGCCAAAAGACAAAGTTACATAGTGCAGCTCTACTGAGTCGAGTCTACTATGCCATTGATTTCAGTGAACATTGAGTTATGAGAGATGAATCGATGAAGGAGCGTGTGACTCACCGTTGGCAGCTCTGGCGCTGGGATGTTACTGGTTAAGGCTTGGCCGAGCGTGTTAGTCGAGCAGCGGTCGGAGGCGGTGGAAACATTCAGGAGACACGCTTGTAGTCATGTTAGTAAAGTGTCCTAGCAAACACATTGGTTTTCATGCAATCAGATTTAGTCGATTACGGCATATCCAAATGATGCCGTGACCCACAGCGGCGACACGTCACGGGGAATCAATTCTCCCTTGAGATAAAGAGTGTGTGTCAACACATGACTGCCCGCATTTACAAATCAATGACGCACACTTGGGGGTTCAGAAACACTGTTCATTTCAAAGGAAAGAGGCTGGATGAAAAAGTTTATATATATATATAAAAAATAATAATAATTTATTATATGATCCCTTTTATATTTTCTACATGTGCCATTGTTTGCCTCAAGAACGATGCAAAAGTGCATGCAAAGAAACACAGACAGGAAGTCTACAGTGAAAAGCTTCATTAAACAGCTCGCCTCCCTACTTTGAAAAATATATTCTGTTATTTGTTCAAGGTACAGTCAATCTCTTCTTCATATACCTTTGAAAATCTATCATCACTAGAGCGATTATGCATTACTTGATCAGCAGAAAATTACAACATGCTGACACACACGTACAAACCCGATTACAAAAAAGTTGGGACACTGTACAAATTGAGTAAAAAAAGAATGGAATAATTTAGAAATCTCATAAACTTATATTTTATTCACAATAGAATATAAATGACATGTCAAATGTTGAAAGTGAGACATTTTGAATTGCCATGCCAAATATTGGCTCCTTTTGGATTTCATGAGAGCTACAAATTCCAAAAAAGTTGGGACAGGTAGCAATAAGAGGCCAGAAAAGTTAAATGTACATATAAGGAACAGCTGGAGGACCAATTTGCAACTTATTAGGTCAATTGGCAACATGATTGGGTATAAAAAGAGCCTCTCAGAGTGGCAGTGTCTCTCAGAAGTCAAGATGGGCAGAGGATCACCAATTCCCCCAATGCTGAGGCAAAAAATAGTGGAGCAATATCAGAAAGGAGTTTCTCAGAGAATAATTGCAAAGAGTTTGAGGTTATCATCATCAACAGTGCATAATATCATCCAAAGATTCAGAGAATCTGGAACAATCTCTGTGCATAAGGGTCAAGGCCGGAAAACCATACTGAATGCCCGTGATCTTCGGGCCCTTAGACGGCACTGCATCACACACAGGAATGCTACTGTAATGGAAATCACAACATGGGCTCAAGAATACTTCCAGAAAACATTGTCAGTGAACACAATCCGCCGTGCCATTCACCGTTGCCGGCTAAAACTCTATAGGTCAAAAAAGAAGCCATATCTAAACGGGAACCAGAAGCGCAGGCGTTTTCTCTGGGCCAAGGCTCATTTAAAGTGCACTCTAGCAAAGTGGAAAACTGTTCTGTGGTCAGACGAATCAAAATTTGAAGTTCTTTTTGGAAAACTGGGACGCCATGTCATCCGGACTAAAGAGGACAAGGACAACCCAAGTTGTTATCAGCGCTCAGTTCAGAAGCCTGCATCTCTGATGGTATGGGGTTGCATGAGTGCGTGTGGCATGGGCAGCGCACACATCTGGAAAGGCACCATCAATGCTGAAAGGTATATCCAAGTTCTAGAACAACATATGCTCCCATCCAGACATCGTCTCTTTCAGGGAAGACCTTGTATTTTCCAACAAGACAATGCCAAACCACATACTGCATCAATTACAACATCATGGCTGCGTAGAAGAAGGATCCGGGTACTGAAATGGCCAGCCTGCAGTCCAGATCTTTCACCCATAGAAAACATTTGGCGCATCATAAAGAGGAAGATGCAACAAAGAAGACCTAAGACAGTTGAGCAGCTAGAAGCCTTTATTAGACAAGAATGGGACAACATTCCTATTCCTAAACTTGAGCAACTTGTCTCCTCAGTCCCCAGACGTTTGCAGACTGTTATTAAAAGAAGAGGGGATGCCACACAGTGGTAAAAATGGCCTTGTCCCAACTTTTTTGAGATGTGTTGATGCCATGAAATTTAAAATCAACTTATTTTTCCCTTAAAATTATGCATTTTCTCAGTTTAAACATTTGATATGTCATCTATGTTGTATTCTAAAAATAATATTGAAATTTGAAACTTCCACATCATTGCATTCTGTTTTTATTCACAATTTGTACAGTGTCCCAACTTTTATGGAATTGGGTTTGTATAATAATGCATTACAGAAATGTGTTGAGTTGATCTCTATGTACCGCCGGGGTCATGCATTATTCAGAAATGAATACGAATATAGGTTGCAAACAATTGCATTCAAAATTAAAGCTGCAAGCAGCGATGGGCGGGCCCTGGCACCTGTAGCGTGTAGGGGTGCAACGGCCGCGTTGCATATTCTGGAGCTCAGCCGGTGCGGCTGTGAATTGCTACGCACTTCATTTACGCCACAGAAATTCCGTAGATGAAGGTCAAACGTGTGGCGGGGGCTGCTTCGTTAAAGGTCACTTTCTGTTGCCAGCAGGTGGCGCTATGACTGTGGGCTAATTTCAGCATGTACATGTGTTC